ATTTTTATCATCCCTTCATTTTTAGTAAAATTATTTTATTTTAATATTTAAAAACTCCTTTTTATTCTTTTAAAATTATTTAAGAAAATTATTCAAAAAAATTTTACCGTTTAAAATTTCGTTGTCTCCGTTTGGTCGCGTACATGAGAAACTTCTTAAGTAAAAACTTTAAATAAATATTAATATTTTAGTAGTTGTCAATGAAGAAATTACTAAAATTTAAATTAAAAATTTACTACAATCAGGCATCACTTAAAAGCCTAGGTAAAGGGAAATTTCCCGAAAATTCTGTAAAATATTTCCTATAAACATTTAACATTTATAACAAAATCCAAGTAAAATACTCAATAGATGGAGAATATATTCGTTAAGATTTTTAAAGGGACCCCCCCCCCCTCCCTAGATATAATTGGTGAACATAAAATGAAGGTAAAGTTATTGGGGGTTTTATGGAGGACAAAAGATATCTTAAAGCTTTTTAATTTTAAGAATAATTTTACAAATTATTAAAATTGCGTGATAAAATCAAGTGACACAAAAATATAAAATTATTTATTAGTACATACTTTCTCTAAAACAGACTTTAATTAATTAAATAATTTTTGTATTTTTGCCTTGTTTATAATTTATTATTTTTCTAATTAATTGCGTGTTGTTTAAGTTTTTTGTTTATTAAAATTTAATCACTTGAGGAATACTAAGGCTATAAAAAATTTGAAAACTGTAAATTGCCCTTAAGTGATGTCCCACCTTGGGAACCAGCTCTCGTAAAGCGGAATCGCAAAAAACTAGAACGGCTTTATTGGAATCGAATGGAATACCGTATGTGCTCTATTAAGTACCCTCTCTCAAATAATTACCCCCGTTCTATTAATTACTCCCTTCAGCGAGAGGTCGAAACAATACTCATGGTAATTATTAGAGCATATACGGAGACTCCTGTAAAAGGGACTGATAAACTGTTAGTTTTTTGGAATATTTTATCACCGAATATAATATCTAACATATGTATTAGTTTAATAATTCCAAACAAAAGAGTGTCAACTGTACTTTTAAAATTGATTTAAAAAATTTCTATTTAATCAAAAATTTTAATCGCGTGTTATATATTTGTTAAAGAAAATTATTTAATTCTCTTTTATAAACATGCAAACATATAAAATTTTCCCTTTTCATTTTATTGGGTAGTTTAAAAAAGAAAATGGCACGCAACCAAACACAAAATATTCTCGACAGCCAAAAATGCCCTTCAAGAAACTAAATAATGTAGTAACTGTCTTCAAACATTTCTTCCAATATTTTTTATAGAAAGTATGCCCCATTCATTCACTCATTTTAAATAAATTCCTCTTACAATTTTCTTTGCCTTAACAACATTGTGGCAAATGAAGAAAAAGAAATTTTTGTTCCCGCCCCACTCTGGGGGCGTTTAGGCGCGAATTAACGTTAGACTTTTCAAAATTCCCTGCCAAATTTAAAGCAATACATGAATTTTTCTATCGGGTATTGTGACTTATAGGGGGTTTTTGTTGGCTGGACCGATTTCGACAAATGAGGTGTCATTCGAAAGAGCTCGCCGAGCTGAGTCGATCCCGCGGGGGAAGAAGTCGATCTGACAATCAAAGACCGAGTTACAGACCCCTGAAGTTTGAAAAAGAGAAGGGGGAGTAAGCTCATTTTGGGGTGAAAAATTCGAAAATGCAAATAATAGCTCATTCGACTCGGCTTGTCGAGCTGAGTCGAATGACACCAAAATCACCGAAATCCGACTTGATTGGACAAAGTTATGATCGTTTGTATTAGCTCCTTACCTATGGTCATTGTTGAGGTTTTTGCCGCTACGGAGGCCCCAAGTACGTCCAGAGTAAGGGAAATAGGAATAGGGTTATGTTACTGACCCAGACCCAGCGACCGTTGACGCCCCGCGAGGCGCGTGCCGCGAAACCCCGCGCGAAGCGCGGGGTTTCGCACAAGCGCCTCGCCTACGCTCCATAGGTTTATGTTGACCATTTTGAACCTGTTTATCTTTGCTCAGAATCAAGATATCGAGCTGATTTTGGTGTCATTCGACTCAGCTCGACGAGCTGAGTCGAATGAGCTATTATTTGCATTTTCGAATTTTTCACCCCAAAATGAGCTTACTCCCCCCTTCTCTTTTTCAAACTTCAGGGGTCTGTAGCTCGGTGTCGGATCGACTTCTTCCCCCGCGGGATCGACTCAGCTCGGCGAGCTCTTTCGAATGACACCTCATTTGTCGAAATCGGTCCAGCCAACAAAAACCCCCTATAAGTCACAACATTCTTTCTATCTAAATAAATTTCAGAATCAGAACCATTGACCATTTAGATAAAAGTTAAATCCCCAAAATTCTACATTTCTAAGTTTCTAATATGGCAAAATTATAAGCTCACGCCCGACTGTGTTTGCGCCTAAATTTATATTCTTCTCAACTCATTTTCCTCCAAAAGAAATAATAAAGGAAATACAGTAGTCTAGAAACAATTCAAGAGAGAGATACATATGTACTTTTAATAAATTCTTACGAAAAGGTTTATAAAAATTATCATGTGTTTTTAATAAAAGGTCAAAAGGGACAGTAAGTTTTTTTATTTCGTTTATTTAAACAAATATACCAAAAAACATGTGTGAATGTGAGGAAAATACTTCAAAATGAATAGCCCTCTTTTAAAGGTTTCTCAATTACAAATTAAACATTAGTTTTGACTCCTGTCAAATTAAGGGGGGGCTGTTTTTGTTTCTATTATTTACATAAACAAATATTTAAACAATTCATTTTATATAAAAAGCAGGTGTATTTATTTTTAAAAAATAAGTCAGACGATAACAAACTGTACAGCTAAATTCATTGAAATTTAAACTTTTTAATTCCTTTTTTTCAAGAAGGGCACCCGGTTAATTATGATGTTAATTTTTCATTTGCCGGGTTCCAATGCAAGGAATAAGCCAGTCTTATCAAAAATAGTTCTCAACTATAAAAAATAAAATATACATATATTCTTTTTTTATTTATCAAAACAAAAATTAAAAAAAAACAATTAAAATCCAATAATAATATTTTAAATATTCCCCCACATTCAATCATCTTCAATTGTTTCAACCAACATCATTGTTTGTGTTTCTGGCACTTCTTTATTTTTATTTAATTTCTTCTTTTTCTTTTTTGTAACTTTCTCATCTTCAACGTTTTCCTCTTTAATTTCAATAACATCCCCTTGTTCAATATCACTTTCTTCTTTATATTCCATATCCATTTGCTCATCTTCATCTTTTACGTCATTGGCAAATGGTGATCTAGAAGACTTTCATTAATTTAGAATAACAAATAATAATTTTTAATAAACAAATTAGGTTCTAGCCATTTGCCAGGAAATGATTTTCGGAGTAGGTACCCAGGAAAGAACGATTAAAAACATTTCTAGGTTTTTCCAATATTGTAAAAAATTTCAACAAATTTAATGAATAAGTCCCTTCTCAAATAATGTTCTAAATTAGAGGTTGCCAAAACCGCACTTGTGGGATCACGAGTCGGGATTTTTTCTTAACCTATGCAGGACGGGATCCAGAGGGATAAATCCCGAAAATAAAAAAACCGGGATTTCGAGATCCCGGAAAATCCCGTTGAGATCCCGTCCCGCGCCGACCGCTAGTTCTAATTAAAATTCAGTTTCAATTCCCCTTTAGAAAACAATTTTTAAACAAACCTAATTAAATGCATTCTAGTCTTTGCTTTCTTAATCATTGCTTGTTTCTGACGTAATTGACCAGGCTTCAATTTATTTTTAATTAATTGTCCATAACGACGATGTCTAATTTCGTGGATTTGTTTCATTGCCTCAACTAAAAAATTAATTTTAAAAATTTTCAAAAAAAAACTTCCAAAAAAACCTGCTTCATTCCACAAATTTCTGTCATATTTTACAGGCTCATTTCTTTTTTGTTCAAGTGCTTGAACTGCATCATTAACCAATTCCTTTAAATAAAATTTAAACAAAAATAAAATTAAAAACAAAAACCTTTCCTCGTAAACGCCTCGAAGCTTTTGTCCATTTCAATTTGCGAGGATTCTTTTTCTTTTTGAACAACTTGTTGCACTTGGAACGACAAAATTTGAAAACCTAATTTAAATAAATTTAAAAAATGGGGAACTTAAAATAAAAAGGAATTTGATTGATAATCACACCCCTATATGGAAATCAGATTTACCGATTTATTGAATGTAACTTAATTATTCAAGTGGTTTTAGATATTTCAGAATATTAAAATTCGAGAATTTACAACCCCCCACTTAAAGAGAAATGTGGAGGAAGATATTTAAAATATAATAACAAAATCCAAACCGTTCCATCATTTCGAGCAAATTGAATACCATGACCTGGCCAAATTGTTGAAGAACAAAACCAACACTTTTCTAGACGCATTGGAACCAAAAAAATAATCAAAAAAACAATTAAATTAGTAACAGAATATTTAATTAAAAATATTATTTTTTGAAAATTAAAACAAGAATAAACAAAATATTTAATAAAATATTTCAATTTATTCAAAGTTTCAGAGAATATCTAACAAAATATTGTAGAGAATAGGGATAGCCCAAAATTTAAAAATAATTTAATCATTCTTAAAAAATTTTTAAATACATTTTGGCAACCCTAGAAACTAAATTAGAGGTAAACTTAACTAACAAATAAAATTTAAAATATATCAATAAAATATTTTTTTATTTATTAAACTGATTAAATTTACTAGTTTTCTTTAATCTTCCAAAAAAAATATTTTATTGATATTTTAACAAAAATGCCAACTATATATTTAATTTTTGTGTCATATTAACATGAAAGCAGTCTGTGAATATAGGGAGAACAATTACTATATAAAACAAAACACTTCTAATTCTTTGAGCCAAAGCAATACCCACACAAATAGGATTCATTTAAAAAAACTAAAAATTTGTTGAACAGTTCGTTGCTACCATTTATATTTTATTGCCGTTTTTCGTAGAACTTTTTGCCCGTTTTTGCGTGATCTAATAATTAAAAATATAATTTTTAAATTATTTTTAAACAAACCTAAAAGTAATTGGCAAGGTTGGAATTGAACACTTGGATAAATACTCGCATATTTTTCCATTTTCTTCACTAATTTATCAGCACCGTAAAGGTCAACAAATCTAAATGGGCCACCCCAAAATGGCGGAAAACCGACACCAAAAACACTGGCAATATCTCCATCAGACTAAATTTAAAAATTATTTAAAACATCATACAAGAAATTTAAAAATATTAAGAGAAACGGAATCTATAATTAAACCCATAATTCCAATTTATGTAATTAAAAGAAAATTAACCGGTGCAGAGATTATTCCCTCTTCAAGACAAATTAATGCTTCATTCACAAAACGACAAACAACACGTAATTGTTGATCTTCAACAGAAGAGGCGCCGGCTGACGGAGTTAAAGAATAACGTTTAAGTATTTCAACTGCCTTTTCATTTACTACTTTCTTTGGTGCTTTTCCAATTCCAAATTTTACAAGTGGATTAGTTGATTGGGGATTATAGTCATAAATACCTTAAAATATATAAAATAATTATTCAAGAGATAAAACTAACCGGCTCCACTCTTTTTGCCTTTGAATCCAGCCTGGACCATATCTTGTAACATTTGTGAAGATCCTCCTTGGACACGAGGTCCGAGTGCTTTACTCAAAAACGAAGCAACGTGATCACCAACATCAAGGCCTACCTTTAAAAATATTTTTTATGAAAAGATGAAAGATTAAAAAAAATACTTCATCAGCTAAAGTAGCCATCCCAACAGGAAATCCAAATTGATTGGTAATTTTGTCAGCCTTAATAAATTTCCCATTTTTCAAAAATATATCTATAAATACCTCTGTTGGAGTTAAACCTTCCTGAAGAAGACGCATAACTTCACTCAACATTGGACTTATACAACGAACAACGAAAAAACCTGGACAATCCTATAAAAACTAAATTAAACATCATTCTTAAATAAACAAAACCTTAACAACAACAATCAGCTTTTTCTGAGCAAGTCCCAGTTTTGCTGCGACAGCCAAAGTTTCTTTTGATGTCTTTTCTGAAGTAATTATTTCCAAAAGCTGCATTTTGTCAACGGGCGAAAACTAAAAGAAAAATGTTTAAAATATTTTACTGACTAAATTTTCGGACAATATTCATCAGAAATAATTTTAAAAATATTTACATAGTGCATGCCGATGATTCTTTCAGGTCGCTTACTAGCAGAAGCAATATCCTTTATAGGAAGAGCCGAAGTATTTGTAGCAATAACACAATGCTCTGGGACGTTTTCCTCAATCTATTAAATTTCTAACTTGAATTTTATTTAAAATGACCTTCTGAATAATTTTATGTTTTAATCCAAGATCCTCAAAAACAGCTTCAATAACGACATCGGAATTTTTAAGATGGCTATAATCATTCAAAACAGGTTTCAAGGACGACAAATAACGAGTATGTTCAGCTGAAGTAAACTTTTTCTTTTTAAGTTGACCTTCCATCTGTGTAGTAATTTGTTTGAGACCTCGATCTAAAGCTCCTTGATTTGTGTCTATAAGGACCTAAAAATTTTAATATCATAAAAGAAAAATATTATGTATTTATAACCGTTTCAATTCCCTGGTCAATGCTAACATTTGCAATTCCGGCACCCATGAGACCAGCTCCAATCACTCCTAATCGTCTACAAATAAGCAAAACAGAAAATAATTTAAAATCGATAAACATACTCGCATTTCTTTGCGTCTCCATATTTGTCCTTTTGGCATTCAGTTCGACCCCAATAGAGACCAACTAAAGCTGCTGATTGTTTAGTTTGTGAAAGCTCACCAAACGCCTAAAACTTTTTTATAAAAGATACGTGGTCCCTGCATAAATAACCTGAGTCTCCTGTTCATAACCAACTTGTGGCCCATCAATCAGCCCATTTCGAACAACATCCAGAATTTTCAAAGGCGCAGGGTAATTCCCATGCGTTTGCTTCATCACCGTTTCTTTGGCCTTTCGAACTAGTAAAGCATCGATAAGTGGACGACTTGTAAGTAAAAGATTTGTCAACTGAAAATTTTTCAAAGAAATTGAAAAAATATTTGTAAAAACCTGTTGAGCAAAAGGCTTGCTTTTAGTAACTTTAAGAGAACCATCAGCTAGTTGTTCACACGTTTGGATGGCAACCTCTTCCAAATAACGATGAGTTCCAGTTAATGGATCGGTAAGGCCAGGCCCGATTGGCTGGACTAAATGGTCGACTAAACCAAGTTTTTTGGCTTTATTAGGACGAAGAACTTTGCCTTACAAATTGTTTTAGAGAAAGGCATTTTAAGATCAAAAAACCTGTGAGCATCATTTGCAAAGCTGTTTGGATATCAACAAGCTTGGGAAGACGTTGTGTACCACCAGCGCCTGGCAATAGACCCAACATAACTTCAGGCAATGCCAATTGAGTTTTTGGCGAGTCCACAGCTATTCGATAATGACAAGCCATTGCTAATTCAAGCCCTCCACCCATACAAGGACCCATAATGGCAGCAACAATCTGTTAATAATTTATTTATAAATTTAAAAGTTAACAAAGAACCGGCTTTTTGCTATTTTCTAATTTGTCAAATTGAACTTTAGCATCGCTTGAAATCTTCGCAGCTTCAGAAACCGATTTACATTTCTCTAACATTCGAATGTCTGCACCGGCGATAAAATTCTGTAAAATTTAGCATAAATTATACAAAATCACAAAAATTACGTTTGGTTTGCCAGAAATAAGTACAACACCACGAACGGATGGATTTTGCTCTATAGCATTGAAAGCAGCTGTTAGATCCTTTGAGACAGCTTCATTCAAAGAATTCACCTTTTAATTAATTTAAAACTGAAAAATTTATTTTCTAAAAACTTTTTCGCCTGGACAATCAATCTTTACAACAGCAATGCCATTTCCCTTTATATTCCAAGTAACCGAGTCTCCAACTAAAAACTAAATTTAAACATTTACAATTCAAAACCTTGTGTTTTCATATTCAATGGCTGTTTTACTTCTGCAGTCGTTACAGGAGGTGGTTTAGGAGGTTCAGACTTGGTAGCTGGAGTAGCCCCTGCCGTCGCTTGAGTTCTTAATGAATTACCAAGGAGCGGTATAAAATTATATTTAGACCCTGAAAATATCAATTGTTTAAAAATAAAATTAAACTTACTAAGATTGAACCATCCAATTCTAGAAATCATTTGGAATTTTGTTTTTTATATTCTAAATAAATTGAGAATTATAAGGTAACTAGGAAATTTTTAAAGTAAAATTATGAGTAAAAACGAATAAAATACAAATCAATGTATTGATAAACAAAAACATAAAGGTAATAGATGTTATTTTTCATAAACTAATTTCGAGTAAAAACAAATGTTAAAATTAATTAGAGCGAGATTTTCAAAAAATCTTGACCCTTGATCTTGATTTCGGTTGGGTACCCTGACAAGATTCTTGACCTTGAGTCAAGGAAAAATCAATGTCTGGATCCAGATCCAGCTCGCCCTCTAAAATTACTATAAAGTACCCCTCTAATTAGTTAAACTAATATTAAATTCAGAAAACACACTTTAAAAATAATTTCTTATAAGTAATCAAAATACATATATTCGTATAAAATAAAAGAAAATTATCTTTACAAATTTATTCAAAATTTTGTATATGTATGCAATTGTTAAAGATATATAGTAGGGGGTATAAATCAGCGAATGTAAGATATCGATATCATTTAAAGGAAGTTTAAAGTAAAAAAAAAGAAAATTGTGCTCTTAATTTTTTTGAAAATCCGAGAAAAATTATTTTTAGATACGAATCTTAAATATTTTCCATATAATTTTTAATTTTTTATTCAATAAAAATAAATCTTGGATTGTGTATTTATAAGCTAAAATAGAAAAAGATAATTTTTGATTATATGGATTGGGAATTTGGGTGTCTTAAATACAAACGGTAGAGGAAATGATCAGTCAAAATCAAAATTAGGATTGTTAAGGAAAAGAAAAAGATCTCGAACAAAGTCGAAACTTGGATCGAAAAACTTAGGAGATTCTCTATTCAATAACAATCCCAATAAAAACATTCAATAAAATCGAAATCCTCCCAGACATTTGGAGGATAAATTTAAAAAAAGACCTGATCAAATTTTACTTTAAATTAAATATTCTTTTTATCATTTACATCTCATTTCAACTCATCTCTATTCAATTACTTCTCCTCTTCCTCTTTAGCTTCAGTCGCAAGTTCAGTGGTTGTTGTGGTAGTCTGGCTAGGTGATTTAGCGACAGGCTTTTCAATTCCACTACCAATCGGTCCAATATAAACAGGTGGGGGAATTGTTGCAGAAGGGCTCATTACTGTGTCCTAAATTATTTTAAATATCAAAAAATTATAAAAATTTACTAACAGCATATGGAGGTGGTTGTTGCATAAGAGCATATCCACTGCACATCAAATTCTCTGGATATCGAAACGCACTAGCGGTGCTGCACATTTGATCACGAATTTGACGAGCTACCTTCTTATCACCAAGGTATCCATAACAACGCCAAATGATGGAAAGGAACCAAGCTTGAACTATTGTTGCGAGAAAATGACGACGGAGTTGGCTAAAATTTAAAAAAATTAAAAGTCAAACAAATAAACAAACCTTCTAACGACTGAATTTGTTTCTCCATCTTGCATAATATGCGAGTCAAGGTAGAAAATGTCATTGACAATCTAAAACAAAAAATTTTAATTTTCTTAGTTAATATATAACGAAGTCTTAAAAATCATAAAAGTGGTTTACTAAATTATTAATTGTAAGGCGAACACTTGGACCTAACATTCGAGACACTAAACTAAAATGCAGTGCTCGCCAACAACCTCATTCTTCAATATGAGCTACTAAAAATTTAAAAAATTTACCCCAACAAGTCCAGTAAGCACAGTAATTGCAGCGTAAACAATATATGGCATAAGCAAAGACTTCCGCTCAGTTTTAATTCCGTGAATGAGCACAACAAGAAGCAAAACATGCAAAGTAACGGCCATCATTAATTGAGCTATTTTAAAAATAAAAATCATATAAAACTATTTAAAAACATACACATATAGCGATTGTTGACTGATCCCACCCAAGAATCAGCTGAAGGTGTTTGTACGCTAGCAATCTAAAAAATAATTAAAAATGAGAAAAAGGATAAATTAAAATTAGTGACCGGCGCCGGACCGGACTCTGGGCCGGATTTTCCGGAGTCCAAGTCCCAAATCCGGGGTTTTTAGATTTCCGAACTAAAATCGGATTAATCCGGAAAAATCCGGCCGTATCCGGTCCGGTACGAGTGTGAAATCCAAAATCGGTTTCGGGCCCAAAACTTATTTTGTCGGTCACTAATTAAAATCAAATATTTGTAACCACTCTCCATAACAACATCCCATTATAGGATCAAGACAGAAAGACGTTAAAATTTTGTTTATCCATTTAAAACCTTACCATCATATAGTTGTAAGCGAAGAGAATAGATCCCATAAATGCCGCAACCAACTGAACATAGCTAACATACAAAGCTGCTTTTGAGACATGAACTGAGCGACAAAAAACTTTGTATTTATCATCTTCAGCATTCCATAACGGCTCCAAATCGGAAAATCCAATACGGATTCTTTGATGAGTACGGCCACCTCCCAGTCCCCCATTAAGAGGTTGGCGAGTTGTGGAATTAATTGTTTGTTTTCCCATTTTTTGAAGTCAAATAATTCAGAAAATAAACGTTTGATTAAACTGAAAAAATTATTTTTTAATAAAAAAAGTTTAGCTTTTTAGAGCGATAATAAAATGTTGGAAATTACAGAGAAGAAAAAACAGAGAAGAAAGTAACTATTAAACATTAAATAGAACTACCTACATATATTTCACTTTCACAAAAAAACATAAAAGATGAATCATCGAAACAAATAAACAGCCTAGTAAACTTGTTAAACTATGAATTGTAAAAATAACAAAAACAAATCATACAAAAACTTTAAAATTAATACGGCTTGCGCAAAATGCAAAGTTATAATTATGTTAATATTTAAGTATGTTCGTGGGATGAAGAGAGAGGGAAAGTTTTGTTGTAGTAGTAACCTGGAAACCAATAAAGTTTCTCTAACATCGATTTTTTAAATTTTTAATAGTGAAGGAAGTCAAGCAAACCACATTCGAGAGAGAGATTAAATTAAAAAATAATTAACGTAAAGGATTATTTCAAAATTTATCGATTTTTAAACAGTTAATGTAAAAACGCTCAAAAATTTTCTAAACTAAAAATACAAGTTTGTTTCTATGGAAATAGTATGTATTTTAAGAATTAAAAGGCGATAGACTAAAGAACAATAAAATTTATGTCAGCCGTTGTAAAGGCTGTCAATAGTGTTTGTATGCTTTCTCTGACATTTCTCTCTCACACATACAAAGATTAAAGAGAAAGCGCTTTCTATCGATTTTTAGTTCAACCCTTTCATTTTTCTATGAAATGAGTGTCGAAATTCGATTAGATAAAGTGTAGGATTTTTAAAACAAAATAACGTTTAATCGAAGGACAGAATGTTTCACAGCACAATCGGCCCGGAACAAATCATCGCTTCGCTAAAATATCTTCACGGTTAAAAATGGTTAAAATGCCGTCCATCAAAATATCGTTTCATCAAAATGTCATCACGGCCAAAAAGGATCTAACATCACCATGGCAAATTAGTTAAAATCGCTCTTTTTAAACCTGGCCTAAAATTTGATAATCAGTCTTTTGAAAATGAGTTTTCGAGTTCTGACAGTCTTTAAATTTGATGCAGAAATACATATATTTAATTTAAAAAACTAGAAAAATACCTTAAAAATCTTTGAAATATTCTTTAGTAAATGTCACCTTATAAAATTATTAACAAAAATGTAACAACTAAAAACTAAATATACAGCGCTCCACATAATTATAACTAGTGAAGTACCGTGTAAATCATATTTAAAAGTCATTATTAAAACTTTTCTAAACGGAAATTAGGTTGGTCTATTCCAAAACAAGATTATTAAAAATTGGACATTATTTTAAAAAATGAGGCATTGTTAAAATAAAACATTATTAGTAAGTTTTTTTTGTCAAGGCATAAATTACTTCATTTAACAGAATATATGTAAATCAAAATATATTTATTATTATTCTTTTCCAAAGGATAAAAAATAATTTCTATTCAAAATCCAGTTCATTTTAGTTATATTCTGTAAATTCTATGCCAGAGGACAAATGATGATGGTATATCCAAAGCAAGTTTGCAAAGGATATCAATTCCTCCTTTTCCTTTGAAGAATATACTTTTTTTGTTTAATTTCTTCATATTTTGCCTAAATAATTCTTTTTATTAAATATTTTTTTTATTTTTAAATATTTTTAATTTTCTGTTTGTTTTATTGTAAAAACTATTTTTATAAATTTTTTGTTTGGGATAACAAATGATAAACTGAACAATAAACACTTTTTATATATAACTTTTATTCCGATTGGACTCACAAAGGAGCCTTTTAAATCAGAAACAATATTGATGTCAATAAATAAAAAACAAAATTTAAAAACCATGGGAATGTAATTAAATTTCTATTTGATTTAGGAGCAGTTCTTTTATTTTTTGGTGTTTTGGAAGAAATAGGAACATTGACCATGGTTTTTGAATAAAAATTTAAGAAATATTTAAGAAATCTGAGGATTATATAGGATGGATGGTGGTGGATGTAAATGAATTTTTTTATTTAATTACCTATCACAATTATATCCAGCTTTGATGTAGAAGTTGAGCTCTATAATACCATGTCTAGATACATCTTGATGGTGGTGGTAATAAATGGGAAAATAGCCCTCATTCGTTTTTGCTAACTTTACTCTTAAAAATAAAAATATATTTTAAGGTATTTAATTAAAATTACAAACATTTCTGTGCCTAAACGACTTTACTTTTCAAAATAAATATTAAATAAACAAAAATATTTCTCTTAAAATAACAATTTAAATAAAAATATTTAAAATGATTAGAAATTGACAAAAATATTTATATTTATATACATATTTTATTTCATTCACATTAAATTAATGATTAATCAAAATTTATAAATATAAATTATTATACCAAATAGAATTAATTAAATTTAATTAATTACTTCTATATTTATTAGTATTTTTACTAAATTTTATTTTTTAAATTAATTTTATGAATCATTTAACAAATATTTGGAATGTATTTAAATTAAAGTAGTAAATTTGATAAAAATTAAATAAAAATAATAAAATTTAAATAGATATGTAGTATTAGATAGATGATAAATAAATAAATAATTTATTAAATCTTTTCAAAATATTTTCTTTATAATTTTCTAAGAGGGGTTAAAAGAACATTAAATAGTATATTTTTCAATTAAAATTTTCGATAAATTTTTTTTTGAAATTACTATTTTCTCCAGAAATAACGAAATTCTTTATATACTTATTTAAAATTACTTTTATTTTTTTATCTCTTCGTTAGCTTTTTTTGATTGTGTCAAAATATAGAGAGAAAGCTTTTCATTTTAAATTTAATTTACAAAAACATATTCTCTTAAGGGAAATACATAAGTAAATATTTGTGTTGTTTTTCTTTTATTTAAAAATAATCTCTTCTTTTTTCATTTAATCTTTTCTTCTCTATCAACAATTTGTTAAAAAATTTTAAATATTTTTTTCCAAAAAAATGTACAAAAGTAGGGATATTATTGTTGGAATTTTAGAGTTTATTTTATTTTCTTTACTTTTTCGTTTTGTAAATACTTTAATTAATGATGAAGAGAAACAATTTAATATTGGTAATAATAAATTAATTTTTATTTTTTATAAACAAAATTTTCAATAAAATAAAAGAAGCATTTAAAGATTCTTTAGAATTTGCAGGGTTTTAATTGAAGCATTTACGGTAACTTTTCCTATTCAAGTCATCATTTATTTCGAAAACTCTCTCAATTAAAATAAAGGTGTATACAACAAAGTAAATTTACCAAAAAAATTTTTGAAAAAATCCTAACTTAATAATAATTTTTAAATTTCAAAAAAAGGAGTAGTTCTATTAGAAAAAGAAGATGCCCATTTAATAGCAGCACTTAATTATACTTTACATTGGTTACAACAAGAAAGGAAGCGTCAAAAAGAAGAAATAATTACCACACAATTTTTAGTTGGAAATGAAAATATTCAAACACAAAAATTTGGAAAATTAATTGCTTTAATTGAAACAATTTCTGATCCTTACGACCATTATGGAGTTTTGGAGAAAGGCAAAAATAATTATTTTTTTGAATTTTAATAAATTTAATTTTGTATTTAATGAGTAGAAATTTGAGAAAATCCCCAAAATTTATTTTTAAAATTTATTTTTCTATAGCTTGCCGTTTAATTAACGAGCACAACATTGTAGCCCTTATCGGCCCAGGAGAAAGACATTTATCTGAACAATTAAGTGTTTTGGCTGCTAATAAATTGAATTTGCCTTATTTCTCTTTGGTTGATCCATTAGAACATCCAAAACTGGATGAAGTTTTTTTGATAATAAAAAATATTTTCTTTTTAATTTTAAATTAAAGGGAGGGAATAATGTTTTATCTCAAAATAATGGAGAAGAAAATGAAGATTTAATTAATCATTTTGATATGTTTCCACATAAAGAATTATTTGAAGCAATAATTGATTTAATTAGACATTGGCGTTGGGGACGCTTAATTATTGTTTTTAGTGAACCTGAAAGTAATGGGGGAGGGATTGAATAAAAATAATGTTTTTTAATTAAAAGGAATTCGTCGTTTGGTTGTTTTTCTTGAACATGAAGCTTTTGTTTCTATTCGTTTTCATTTAGTTTATGTAGAAGATGGTGATTATTTAAAGGCAGCAAAGGAAGTAAAATATTTGGAAGAATGTAATGAGGAGGATAATGCTAAATTATGTAAGGAGAGGGGTTTTTAAATAAGTTGAGGTTAAATAAATATATTTCCCTTATGATAAGGTTATAGAAATTGCTTAGGAATTTTGCTTTCACTTTTCGCAACCCCTTTTCCCCCTTCATACCTCTTACTTTCCCTTAACTATTCTTAAAACTCTAACAACAAAATTTTAAATATTTATTTAAATAGCCCAACAAAATGGTGGGTCTAACAGTTCCCCTCAACAACATTGCAATGAATTTAGCCGTGTTTTGTTGGATATGAGCCCTAAAGATACTCATAATTTTTTGTTGTCTGTATGTTATTTTAAATAATTATTTTTAAAATTTTATATTAAAAAAGGCTTTAAAAGTTGGTTTAGTAGAGCATCATCACTGGTTTTTAACTACTTCTTTAGATTTACGTTATATGAATATGGAATTATTTAAACATAATAATGCTAGATTTATTGGGCTTGATCCAACAGATTTTTCTGGTGGTTAACTTTCAAAAATAAATAAAAGTGATAAGGATGTCAGAATCTTAAATATCAATTAATTAAATATTAATTTTTAAAAACCCCTTTTCAATAAAAAATAAATATATTTAAATATTCTTTAAAAAATAAAGAAAATGATGAACAAAAATCAGAATTATTATTACCTTTACCAAACAAAAAAGAATTTGAAGAATTTGTTCGTTTACATTGGTTAGCCAAAAATACAATTATTGAAGGCGAAATGAAAATTAATGAAGCAGAAATTAATCTTAGAATGGTTTTGATTAGTTTATTTAAAATCAGAATTTAATCAGAATTAAAAATCAGAATGAAATTAAATAATTTAAAAAAATCAGAATTTTTTTAAAAACATTTCTTCTTTTAGTCAGAAGCAATTCTTTTATTTGACTCAATATATTTATTGGCTAGAGCTTTGTCAAACGAAACTTTAAATATTTTAAATAGTAACAGAAAAAAATACTTTAATCAACGTCAACAACAACAAATTTCTTCCCTTTTATTTAATAATAATAATTTAACTATGGCTAGATGTGCTGGGGCTACTAGACAAAATAATAGAAAATTTAGTGCCGGAAATGTAAAAATAATAATTATTCTTTAAAAAATAAAAATTTAAAGGGAATAAATAAATTATTACGAGAATATTCTTTAATTACTCGCGGATTAAGTGGTTCACTTAAAAGCAGACTTTGTGGAAAACAAAAACCTGCTAATAACAATTTAAACAATAATTTTACTTTTCAAATATTAATGCTTGGATATACTGGGGTTATTGAAAAGGTTTTAAAAAAAATTAAAAAAAAATAATTTTAATTAAAATAAAAAGATTGGTTATTGGCAATATGGAAATGATATTCCAAAAATAGATTTAAGAGCAGAATCAAGAGCACAACAACAACGAAGAGTTAAAGTTTCTGATGAATTAAAACCACATTTTCGCGTTACTACAATTTTGGAAAGGCCTTATGTAATGGTGAAAAGTCAGGAAACAAACAATAATTTTGAACAGAAACAATTACAATTTGAAGGATTTTGTATTGATTTATTGAAAGAATTGGCTAATGATTTAGGGTGAAATAAACAAATCAGAATTTAATTTAAACATATCAGAATTTAATAAAAACAAATCAGAATTTAATTAAAACATATCAGAATTTAATTAAAACATATCAGAATTGAACAAAAACAAATCGGAATTTAATTAAAACAAATCAGATTTAATTAAAACAAATCAGAATTTAATAAAAACAAATCAGAATTTAATAAAAACAAATCAGAATTTAATAAAAACAAATCAGAATTTAATAAAAACAAATCAGAATTTAATAAGAACAAATCAGAATTTAATAAAAACAAATCAGAATTTAATAAGAACAAATCAGAATTTAATAAAAACAAATCAGAATTTAATAAGAACAAATCAGAATTTAATAAAAACAAATCAGAATTTAATAAAAACAAATCAGAATTTAATAAGAACAAATCAGAATTTAATAAAAACAAATCAGAATTTAATAAGAACAAATCAGAATTTAATAAGAACAAATCAGAATTTAATAAAAACAAATCAGAATTTAATAAGAACAAATCAGAATTTAATAAAAACAAATCAGAATTTAATAAGAACAAATCAGAATTTAATAAAAACAAATCAGAATTTAATAAGAACAAATCAAAATTTAATAAAAACAAATCAGAATTTAATAAAAACAAATCAGAAAACATTCAAAACATATTACCAAAACTTCCTTTAAAGATTCACCTACACAATTCACGTTGTTCGCGACAACAAATATGGTAGTGATAATGGCAATGGTTCTTGGGATGGAATGATAGGTGAAATTATACGTAACGAAGCAGATATGGCTGTTGCCCCATTGACGTTTAATAAATAAAATTGAAAAAAATAATTATTCTCTTAATTTTGAAGTGCAAATTTCCGCCGAGCTGAAATGGTTGATTTTACTAAACCTTTTCTTTCTCTTGGTATAAGCATTATCTTTCGAATTCCTGAAGATTTTCAACCGGATATATTTTCTTTTCTTAATCCTCTTTCATTAGAAATTTGGTTTTGTGTTTTACTTTCAATTTGTGGATTAACTGTTGGAATGTATATTGTTTGTTTTTGTTTCAGAATTTAATAAAAATTTAATCAGAATAAAAACAAATAAAAACAATTTCAGAATTAATTTAAAAATTAATCAGAATTTAATTAAAACAATTTAAAATAATGTTTTTATTTATTTTTTCCGGTTGCTAATACAACACCAAATGAGTGGAACTTAAATTTCTCATGTTGTACTGCACACCAACCTTACCCTGCAGCAAAATATTCTTCCCCTTCTGGAACAAATATTCCAACAAAAGTTGAATTATCTAATAATTATTCTTTTTGGAATACTTTGTGGTATTTAAATAATTAAAAGAAATATTTCTTTTTAATTTAAATTAAAAAGGTATGTATTAAGTACAATGTTAAAAGGAGGTTGTGATTTTGGACCTAGAGCTGTGTCTACTAGGTAATGATTGTAAATTATTATTTTCAATTTTTTTCTTTAATTTGCTAGATTGTTAGGTGCTTCATGGTGGATGTTTACACTTGTTATTGTTAGGTAAATAAAAAAGGAGAGATACGTTGACTAGGAATTAGGAGTATTGAATTAAAATTAAGAAGGTTTTGGAAGGAAAATAAAATTATATTAAATAGATGGGTGATTCTTTTAAGTTAATGGAATCAGGAAAATAATTAAATTTTCAAAAATATTTTCAATATTTTTAGTGCATATACAGCCAATTTAGCAGCAGTTTTGACTGTATCTCGCCCTCACATTCCCATAAGGGACATTGACGATTTAGCTAATCAAAGTGATATTTCATATGGAACAATTAATGGAGGATCTACTATGCAATTCTTTCAGGTAAAGAAAATAAAAATTAAAAAAAAATTTAAAAAAAATTTAAAAAAAGGAATCAAAAATTGCCGCTCATGCCAAAATGTGGGCAAGAATGAAAGAAACAAAAAAAGTTTTTGTTCGTAACAACCGTGAAGGTGTAGAAAAAGTTTTGAGAGAACGTTATGCATTTTTAATGGAATCAAGTTCATTAGAATATGAAGTACAACAAAATTGTAATTTAACACAAATTGGGGGTGTTTTAGGTTCTAAAGGGTATGGAATTGCTTTACAAAAAGGTTTTTTGAAAGGAAAAATTAAAAAGATATTTTTTTGTTAAGATTCGGAATGGACTGATAGAATTAGTAGGCAAATACTTTTATATCAAAAACGTGGTGTTATTGAAATGAAAAAGACAAAATGGTGGAGATCAAAGTAAGTTTATATTATTTTATTTGAATTGTGTAAAGTCTCGTAATTTTACTTATCCTATATTTTGGAAACGAAAACTATCAGAATAGCAAGGAAATGGTTTAAATAAATTAAAGTAATATTTTGGGCCGAAAACTTTTAGAATGGATAGTTCAGATAGGGATAAAGAGATCCCATTGTATTAATGAAAGAATAATTATTTAAAAATTAATCAGAGGTGCTTCATGCCACGGAGTTGGCTCTTCAGTAAAACAACAACGTATTTCATTGAATTTACAAAATGTTTCTGGTCTTTTTGTTATCCTCTCAACAGGATTATTTCTTTCAGTAAATTTTGAATTTAAATTTAAAAAAATTTAGTTTTAGATTCTCATTGTTGGTATTGAATTATATGTACGCAAAAAAGAGCGATATCAAGTTAATGAACAGAAATAAAAAACCTTTTATTTATTATAAATTCCTTGGTGAAAATTGCTAAGAAAAAAAAGTTTAAAAATAAACAAGAATAAAAGGGACCAGAAGATTTAAAAAAACAAAATGGACAGTTTTTGTAAAATATTTAAAAAAACCTTTTTTTTTCTAAACTATCCATTTAGTTTTGTATTAAATAAAAAAATAATTGGATTAAAAATTGGAAAATTTTAAGGGAAAATTTTTGGCGAAAGCGTTTAGTGAGCAAAAAAAATCACAAAATGAGACACACCCCCATCTAAATTTAACAAAAACCCACAAAATTTAATTTAAAAAATTACTCAAATTTGTGTCAATTTTCAGGGCAAAAAAGGTCAGTTGAATATATTGCACATTCAGTTTCATGCAAACTTAAATTGGTTCATCATCATATGGCTCTTTATTTGTAGTTAAAACTGATTGATTTTGCTCCCCACGTGGGTCAATTTCAGTTGCCATACTAAAATTAAATTTTGTTTTAATTTTTCGAGAATGAAATAGTCATTCAAATAGAAAATATTAGTAAGCAAAATAAATGGCCGTACATATTAACTTTTTGTACTTTTAATAAAATAATCTCTTTCGATAGCGGTAAATACGACTAGAAATTCTTATGGTTTCGGGTTCTTATGGTACCAACAACTTTATGGATCGGAAAACTTTCTAGACCATCCAATCCTTTTAAAATTTATTTAAAAAACATTTTACCTAAAATTGAGTAGTGCCAAATGTGTATTTCCCAATTTTCTGTTCACTCGTCCCAAAAGGAAAAATACATGTGCCTCGTCTGGTGATAATACTTTTAATTCCTCTAATTCTGTTTTGGCTTCTTCATAACATCCTGTATCAAATAAAAGTCTTGCCTTATGAAAACGACAAGCAACATTATTTGGCTGTTGTTTTAGAGCACGTTCCAGATATTGCATAGCCTTTTCATTTTTTCAAAAAAGTAATTTAAAATTCTAAAAAACTTACCAAATCAGTACAATGAAGTGATTGTTCAATAACAGCTAATTGACAAAGTAAAACGGTATTTGTAGGATTTATTTGAACGGCACGTTGTAAATTGACACGAGCGAGTTGAATTTTTTCCTCCTATCAAGAAAAATAGAAAATAAATACAAAATTTTAATCAGAAAAACAGGGCATTTATTAAGAATATTCTAGCTTTGGAATTTTTCCTTTTGTGGATAGAAAACTCGTTTTAATAAAAATGCTTAATATAATTTTATGAATAGGTAAAGGGATGGTTAAAAAAATAAAAAAAGACGCCCTTATAGTTTATCTATGAGTTTTTATTCTGGCTTATCTTATTTTCAAAAATAACATTCTCTACCATACAAAAAATTTTTTAAAAAATACCTTAAAGTGAACTAATCCCAATCCATACCAAGCTCTATAATCATTTGGCGCATAAACAATAGCTTTACGAAATGCTTGTTCAGCACGTACCAAATCATTCATATCTATCAATTCATGTCCCAAAATTGAATAAGCATAATCAAAACGATGATTTAAACGTATAGAACGTTCCAAACATTCTTTAAAAGACTTATTTATTAAATAATTTTTGAGGAAATTTCAAACCAATCGCTGTTTCATGTTGTTTTTCCAAACTAAAACAATTTCCTGCAATACACCAAGTCTCTGGTTGATCACGTGCCACGTCTGCCATTTCAGACGCCAATGCTGACAATTTTGTAGTGTCATGCATCTGCCATAATGCTGTGCTATAAATTTCCATTCCTTGTACACGACGAGGGTAAAGACGTCGAATTTCATCAAAAATCTTAAAATAAAATTTAAAGAATATTAAAATAAATTTATATTTTACTTGACAACATCGTCTATATTCTCCATTTTCAAAAAATATTCTAGCCCGAAGTTCCAAAGTTAAAGGCATTTGCAAAAATTGTGGATCAATTTTATTTAACAATGAAAGAGCTTCAATACAACGAAAACGCGAAAGACATTCCTGAACACGCGCCAATTGTGTTATCCATTCCAATAATTCATCTTTAAATATTTTTATAAAATTAAAAAAAATAATTTTTTACAATAAATTTTGTTTCCCTTTGATTTTTCATTAAATTTTAATTGAATGTTGTCCTGATTTAATTTTTGAGATGTTGCAGAAACAGCAGCTATTGCTGTAGCATTTGCTGTTCTTCGAGTTATTCGTTTTCCAACTGTTTGTTGTTTTAATTGTTGAAGTAAAAGTTGTTCTTTTTCCTTTAATTTTAAAATTATTTGACGAGTTAGGGACATCACTCGTAGAAAGTTGCGTTTATTTTATTTAGTGAAGAATGTTTAAATAAATTTTTTTAACTCAAAAATAAACCAACTAACATCTTGTTGTTTTTGTTGTTCAATCAACAACAAACCACCACCAGATCCAGGTGAAGTAGAATCAACCAATTTTGAAGAACGTGTAAGAGGAGAGTTTTCACTTGCACGAAGGGCAATTGATGCTGCAGCTGCTGCTGTGAGACGGTTGTCAGCAGCACGAAGCCGTGTTCTAAAATCAGAGAATTGAAATATAAAATCAGAAAAATTGAAATATTGTTATATAAATTTCAAAACCCTCCTTTTGATATCCAAAAAACAATAAAAAAATATATCAAAACCTTCTCCTTTCAATTATTGTTGTTGCCGCCGTTTGCGCAGCAGCTGGATTTCCAATAGGTGAAGATGGAGCGGCTGACGACAAAATTTTTGAATTAACACTTAAAAATAAAAATTAAATAATTTAAAAGAAATGAAAAATATTTTTTGACGATGCAGAGCTGCTTTTAATTCTCCCGCTAGCTATTTTCGATGCCAAACGTTGCCCGCGCTCTCCAGTATTATCTTGTTCTTTAGATTCAATTAAATCATCAATAATATTATTTGCAGATTTCCATTCTGCTAACTCATCCAAAGAAGGCTTAAAATACAAATAAGATTTAAAAATTTATTTTTAAAAAACCTGTAATAATTCGACCATTTTTTCTCCTCCAACATCACAATATGAACGAACAGCAGACCAAAGTAATGGATTTAACCGAATTGCTTGCGCCCAATGAATACGTGCTGATTCAACACGGTTAGTTTCACTAAACAAAAATTATATTTTCGATAAAATCAGAAAAAACTTAACCATAAAATTCGAGCCAAAAGAGAATGTGCATATGGCAATGTAACTGTACCCGTAAAACATGGATGTAATTGTAATTGATCAGAAACTGAAGTTCCTCTCAATGTCTGTTCTGCTTCTTGAACTCTAAAAAATAAATATATTACCCAGTAAAAGATAAAGGATCAGTTTTGGCTATTTAGGGATAAAACAGAAGTAAATTAATCGTTTTGTTGCCTCGATTAATATGTTCATACTTAAGCCATACAAGTTCCAAAAATTTAAATAATAAAAGAAAACCTGTTCAACATAAAAGCACAATGAGCAAACAAATATCTACACTTGGCTGTATTTAACGCTGCGCCAGCTGTTGGATTGCTCACAGTTCTAAGTAAATGATAAGCACTTTCATATCCTCTAGCTTGAGTTAAACAATGTGCCAAAACTAGAAGTGAACGTTCATTATCAGCTAAATAATTAAAACATTTTTAAGTAAGAACATCCCCTCCAAAAACCTCTATTATGATAAGCCTCAGCAAGAAGTTTTGCATCATCATAATAAAAATGTTCCAATTTGTTTTCAATTAAATCCTTTTAAAATTAAATTTTTTCTTAGATTAAATATTTGTTTAAAAATACCTCTATAAATTTTGAGCCACAATCCATTCGTCTAATTTATCCTTTAAATTTTCTTGAAAACAAAAATAGCAGAAAATTGTAATTATTTTAAATTGTTTTCAAAAATTTGTATTTCCTTAAAATAATGGGGAAATTGAAAAAATAAATGTGTATTGATACAAAAATTGATTACAAAAAATTTAATAAAACGAAAATAACATCGAAAAATTAAAAGTATTAACAAGATAATTTAATTTTACTAAAAGTATTCAAAAAATTATAGAAAGCAGCATCCCTTCAATATTTTCAAAAAAAAAATTCTTAAATCTTTAAGCAATCAATTTTTAACAAATTCAATTACAAAAAAAATTTTTAGAACAAACAAAAACACTCCAATACATACATAATTTACTCGAATGACCCATTCAAGAAAGACAAAAAAATACATTATTACAACAGGATTTTATTACAATAAATGGTGTTATTCTTTTTAGATTATCGTTTATGAATATATGCTTCCTTCATTTATCAGCTTCTATTGCCGTTGGGATATCGTCATTATTCGCAGGCAATTCAGGCACCTCAGTTCCGACTGGATTAGCAACCAAAGCAGGACTATTACTGCTAGCCAATAAGTTTTCTTCGCTAAAAGAATTAGTGCATTTTAGGAATTGTCTTAATTAAAAGACTCTCTCTCACCTTGGAGCAACCCTAGCGGTTGAGACATCATCCCACTCGAGGGCGCTGACTGTCCTTGTTACAGCTGCAGTACTTTGCTCGTCTCCAGTCGGTGGCGGCGAACGAACACGGGCCGAACGTGTGGAAACCAAATCTGACTCTAAAAAGAAAAGGAAAAAATTACTAATTTAATTTTAGTCAAATAGTATAACTGACCAGGGGCAGAAAGTCTACTTTGACTTCGCATAGCTTCGAGCAATTGATCAACCTCGTAAGGATCCAACTGAAAATTTTTTTATTCAAACCTACACAAAAACATTCTTATCCTACCTCCTGATCTTTAGCAGCGTTTTCTCGAGTTCCACTCAGTTCATGGGTACTGTCAGAATCCGTCCTGGAAGCGGTTTGCACAGTTACGTCAGATGAGGTTTCTGATGTTTGATTGGTATCACTGTCACTGGTCAATGACAATGATCTTGCAGCCTCCGCCTCCGTTGCCGCCTCTCTGCTCTCTTCACTGCTGCTACTAGATGGAGTAGGATTCACATCTGGTTCTGCCTCTCCGCGTCGTTCCCGCTCAGCTTCTGCTCGCCGCTCCCGTTCAACGATTTGATCAACCTGTTGCTGGACAATTTGAATTGCCTAAATTTGTAAAAAGATTTTTAGAGAAACTTAAAAAGTAAGCAAACACACCTCTGCGAGGCCGTGGAGCAAATTAGATAACACCTCCATAGACGAAGATGGCTGAGCACGTTGAGCAATGTTGAATTGAAGACACGAGCAAGGAAGTAAGTTGACTGATTGAGTAATCTGATGCGTATATTAGGTTTAAGGAGGCTTTTATAGTAAAACATTTCCTGTTATCACAATCAACAAATTTACTAAAACATTAATATTAGTTCAGGATAAAAAACTTTAGGATAAAATTAGTTTAATCCATCTTCCTAAAGTAATACTGTAATAAACTCTCAAACGGTTTGGGTCAGTTGAGCGCGGGCCGGTTGAGCCCGGGCCAAGTCCCTGGGACACGCCCTCCTTGTCGCGGGCCACCTTGTCGCGACCACCTTGTCGCGACCGCTTTGTCGCAGGCCACCTTGTCGCAGGCCCACCTTGTCGCAGGCCACTTTGTCGCAAATGTTGAAAATTTTTTAAGCTGCCATGGAGAGTAGGAAAAGGGCCTCTGGGCAGATCGGGGTTTTCTGGAGTAATCTGGTTCGGTTTTACTCTGTTAAAACTCCGGCAGACTTTACCCGGACAAGAGAAAGTAATAAAAGGAAAAAAACACTTAAAAACTTTATCAAAAAAAATTTAAAAAAACCATTGTCGCGCTTTACTAATTAAATTTGTGACCCTAAGCAGGGCAGTTTGGGTTTGTTTTTCTTGTCGATGTTTTCCTAATTTCAACACATTCGTTCCTTCAGAAACTTCGAACTTGAAAATTGACAGTCAGAAACTGATGGAAATCAACTAAAAAATTTTAAAAAAAGAACCAAAAACTTAAAAAACAAAACAAAAATTCTAAACCTATTCAAATTCCCATCGTTGTAGCCGTGGGATGAAGTACGGCACGTGGCGAGCAAAGTTTAAGCCAAACTTAAAAGGAAAATCAAAGGAAGGCTTGCGACAAAGTGGCCTGCGACAAGGTGGGCCTGCGACAAGGTGGCCTGCGACAAAGTGGTCGCGACAAGGTGGTCGCGACAAGGTGGCCCGCGACAAGGTGGGCCGTACCCAAGTCCCTTGTTATCTGGCCAGTTGAGCGCGAAACGGGTAATGTTGTTCCAACAACTAGGAATGTTTCTACGGCAACGAGGGATGTTGTACCGATTACGGAAGATGTCGGTCCGAGAACAAGAAAAGTTGTTCCGAGAACGGGGAAGGTTGTTCTGAAAATGGGAGTTCCTTCCACCGTTGTGAGTCAAGTTGTTCCGAACATGAGTCAAGTTGTCCGAAGAAGACTCGGTCGGTCTGGCCCGACAAAGACGAGGCCCGACAAAAATAACTCGATCGGCCCGGTCCGAAAACCCCAACCCTACTTCTGTATATCATTTGTCTCGTTTTACTACGTTACCATTTTGTATTGCACCATTTTGTTCCTTACCATTATGTCTGGACACTAATTTCACATTTTTGACAGCCGTTAGAGAAATAGAGCGACCTAGCTCTGTTTGTCAGCAAGTAAAATCAATAGAAACTTTCGAAAATACTGGAAAGAATGCAATTGCTTGCGTGCATTTTTATTTACTAAATTTTTTTCCTTTCAACAACTGCTGTTAGAGGAGAGGGTTCCTCCGAAAAAATACTTTGTACTCGCTCTTATCATTTGTAGTCAGTCATGTGATTAAGTACCGACACGCAAACATCCATCTCCACTTTTTCTTTCATCTCTTTTTGCGTTCTACTGTTTTATTGACTTTGGGAGTATTCAACAGAGACGAGGAAATATTTAGTAAATATGTATAACTAAGAAAAATTTCTTTTACTTTTTCATAATCATTTTTTCTAGTCCTTTTTGTCAAAAAAAAGCTATTTAGTCGTTGCCCTAGCAACTACAAACACTTCTTTTACGTCTTTCATTGTCAATAAATTTCAAAATATAAATGGGTAAATCTAAGAACAAATGCTTATAATTAAATGATTAAATTTTACGTCATTAGTTTTTGAATCTTTCTAACTAATAGGTTATGTGTTTTATTTGCCATATCTTATTGTCTGGGGCTTAACCTTTAGCATTTATCACCTTTTTTGTTATGTAAAAATCATCAAATCTTTATTTTTTTAAATTTTAGTGAATTTATTATCTTATTCAAAAAATTCAACAGTTAACAAATAAAATGTCGATATTATCAAATAAACCGATAATGAGTAGTACGCCGTTAAGTAATAGGTTAGTTGTTGAATTAAAAAATTTAAAAATTTTGTAAAAAACATTTTTTTGCAGCTGCAGTCCCGGCTGCCCCGGCCTCACGTGTTGCTCCTGACAGCCCTAACGATGAAAATGTAGATAGAGATGCTGTTGCTCGTATAGTAAAAGGTGTTGGTGAGGGATGGTGTTGTCATTTGGCCAATAACTCAATTGCTCTGTTCATTCCATCTAAATTGTTTGACATCACTTTATCGGTTTGTTTTTAGGGGGGATGTCTAAATTTGGTTGGGGTATATGTCTAGAAGTGAATAATTCAGAAATCAGAAGTGTATTTGGCGATAAATAAATAATCTTTTTAAGCGTGAGCATTTTGTCAATCTTCTTGAATACTGTGAAGAACATCTTAAAGTCAAACGTGTTTTGGCTTGTTTTGACAAATCGGAGATTGACCCTCGTGAGGGGATTCCACGCGCTCTCAAGTAATTGTTTATAAAAAATTTTATTTTTTACATCCTTTTTTAGATGTATTGGCTTCTCCGTTCTTCCACCAAATCGTTTTCCAAATTGGCTTGATCCGAAAACAACTTTTGCAATGGTTTATACAATCTAAACATGGAGAACTTTTTTAAAAAGCCTAACTTGGGAGATGATATTTTCTTTGATATAAGGCACAGCCCCCGGTAATATTGAACGTGACAGACCCCCTTTTTTCCTCCCCAAGTTTTACCCTGTATTTTCACAGAATGGTCAGACTTTTTCCTTTCTCCCTTCCCAATTGCCTTTCTATAAATCCTACAATCAATCGTAAACAACAGTTTTTCCTTGATTCCTTCCCAATTGCCAAAAGCTGTTCCATTTTTTTATAAATTGAGAACAAAATTAATACTCCTCTTACTTTTTTTGCATATACTTTCACTTGTATAAAATTAAATAATCCTTTTTGTTAAATATAGAAAGGCAATTAGGATGGGAGAAAGAAAAAAGTCTGACCATTCTGTAAAAATATAGGGGAAAAACTTGGGGAGGAAAAAAGGGGGTCTGTCACGTTCAATATTACCCAGCCCCCTCTTCTCTATCTATCTAAACATAAATATCCTTAAATATCCACTACACCTATTTTAATTACTCTTGACATTCTACAAATATAAAAAATATTTTTTTTTGATTTTTTGGCTTTTAAAGTATACCCTTAATTTTAAAATAATTTTTTGAATCTTTGAATTCTGGTTTTTCTAAAATGATTTTTCCTCGAAAAAATTTACAAGTATACTTTAATAGAATCATTTTTATCTTTTAAAATTATAAACAAATTTTTTTTTGTTCTGACAAACAACACCATCCCTTACCCACTCTCCAACTATTTTTTTTTGTATAGCACATTCTTTATCCTTTTAAAAACATTTGGATTTTAGATATGTACTTTATACACAAATTATTTTTTTCTAGTAAACATTTAAAAACATTTTTGTTTTTTTTCTATTTATAGAAAAATATTTTTTTATAAATAGGGGGTGAGCAATTCCTTTTTTTGTTTTTTATGACATTTAATTTTCCGGTTGCCTTTTTTAAACTTAATTGAATAGAAATGAATTCTTTTGAAAAAAAGAAGGGGAGAGGTATTTGATTTTGAAAGAATAAACGGAAATTCTATTAAAAATTTAAAAGAAAGAAATTAACTTTTAAAAATAGCAACATCTGTGTCATTTAATAATTGTTTAAAAGATGACTTAAGGTTGTTAATAAAAAGGAAGGGTATTAAATTTAATTTTTAATATTTTATTTAATTGACATATAAACTACGAGCAAGACGTTGAAAGTGAGCGTTAAAAGTCTTAATCCCTAGACTACAGTTCTGTGGTACGAGAGTTTGTTTTGTACTGTTTTACAAAATTCTGATATTAATTTCATTTTAACTTTAAAATCTACAAACAAATATACTCGAATAATTAGATTAATTTAATACCCAAAAGGAAAATAAATATAAATTAACAAGAGGAAATAAAAGGAAGTCGAAATATTCCGACTTAAAATACATAAGCCCCTAAAGAAAATAAGCCCAAAAAATTTCTCCGTCAAAAAATAATTTTCTCCTTTCTTACAATTCATCCTTTGCATCTTCTTTATCCACCGAAAACATTTTATCCACTGGAATGTGTCCACAGGAGGCAATAACAACTTCCTTCTCTGGCCTATCACCAGAAAGAGTTGGAGAACTTTCAATACGACGAACAACATCCATGCCAGAAACAACCTTTTAATTTTCTGAATTACAAAATATTTTATTTAAAAATCCAACCTTTCCAAAAACGACATGTTTTCCATCAAGCCATGAAGTTTTTTTGCAAGTAATAAAAAATTGGGAACCATTTGTATCCTTTCCAGAATTTGCCATGCTTAACTAAAAAGAAAAATAATTTTAAAAATATTTGGAAATTTTGAATTCAAATTTTGCCATATCCCATTTTGGTTTGATCCATAAAAAATTTAAAAAACCCAACCCATCCAGCTCCATAATGTTTCAATTTAAAATTTTCATCCGCAAACTTTTCACCAAAAATAGACCTTCCACCAGTTCCATCTCCTCGAGTAAAATCGCCTCCCTGGATCATAAAGTCCTTAATAACGCGATGGAAAATACTTCCAGCAAATCCTTCCTAAAATTTTTAAAATAAATTTTTAGAAAATTCTAAAACTTTTTTACCCCCTTTTTTCGTTTAGACAATTCAATAAAGTTTTCAACAGTTTTGGGCACAGTCTTTCCAAAAAGTCCAATTTCAATGCGTCCAACAGGTTTACCACCAATTTCTATCTCAAAAAAGACCTAAACAAAAAAATAAAAATCACCAAAATCCGTCCGAAAAATTCTAGTCTTGAAAGTCAGTACTGGCTTTAGGGTTTTGGGTTCTTGTTCAGTTTTGGTCCAATAAATGAATCTTATATTAACTGTCCTAAATTGATTTATAAGATTAATTTTGAGTTTCGTTACCGAAAATTGACTATAGCCAGTCGAAATTGAAAAGACAATAAAAATTTAAAACAAAATTCCAACCTTATCTGTCACTTTTGGACCTTTCGGCTTTTCGGTAGCCTCCCTCTCCTTTGAAGCTTTAACCTTCTTATCTGGCACATCTTCTTTTGGCTTATCCGCCTTGCAGCAGAATAAGAGAAAAGAGCAAAAAATAATTGAAATTAAGAAAATAATATTTCCAAATAACATCTAAAAATTAAAAATATTTTTGTATAAATTTTCACAAAATTTGCAAAAATAAAAAGCAAGGCAAAATATATACATATTTTCCTCAACTAATTTTTGTCTAGTTTTAAGTACACGTGTATGTCTATTATACGTCTATCATTGTTTACTTTCTTTTTTCCGAAAAATTCGAAAATAAAAATATTATTTCCTCTTTTGACTTTATTTGAAAATTCTAGTCCTAAAAATCAGTACTGGCTTTGGGGGGTTTTTTTAAATTTTTGAACAAAATTCAGAAAACAATAAATCATTTTAAATAAAGATATACAAATTTGATTTAATTTACAAAAATACTTGTTCATAATCATTTTCTTACACAAATATTTATTTTCAAACAATTTTTAAAATTGGCATTTTAGTAGAGAAAAATAAATGTATATAGTCAAAATTTAATCAAATACATTTGTTATAGATATTCTTCTATTATTTTAGTGTTTTATTCATTCTGACTACTGTTACCCTCATCAGTATTTTGCTGCTCCAAGAGATCGGATGGCACAAGTTGTGCGGGAGGTGAACGTAAAGATTGGCGCTGTGAATAAATTTATTTTAGAAATATTTTGAGTAATAGTAAATTATCCAACATTTTCTCACTCAAAGAGTGAGAGACTAGTTCTAGCTTTTCTGGACTAGTCACGAAATTGCCTAGTGAACAGGCAATTTAAAAAAGTTTCAACTCTACGATAATCCAAAAATTCCTAATTTTCTAATTTCCCTTAAAAACCTGTCCTCCAACACCCAGATGCATATTCGACACAGCTACATTTAAAAGCAAATTATTAGTTTTTTGTTGTTCATCTTGATTAGACTGATTATTATTATTCTGATATGAAGGCTGATGTTGTTCATTCATCTGTTCTCTATCATGGTTTCTTTGTTCGTGTTGTTGGCTATTATGAAGAATATGAACTTGTTGATGATTGTGTTGCTCGTTATAATGATGATGAAAATGTTGGTCATTATTCGCATTATTGTTATTTTGTAAGGGAGCAGGCTATAAATGAAAACAATTTTATAAAAATATTTTTTTGCCCGAAGGAAATGCTGTCTAAAGTTGAAATTTACTTTAATGACAACGTAAAATTTAGAAAAAGTATTGTAAAAAGAAAAATGGAAAAAACCTGAGGCAATGGGTCTGAAGCAGCAGACGCCAAACTTGGATTTGATTTGCTTTTTACAATAGGGCAAGCAAAATCAACATGTCGTGAACGGGCTTCTTCCTTTTCCCAAGATGAATGCAAAACTAAATAGAAAAAATATTTCAATTATTCTAAAAATAATTTACAAGGTCTCTGGACATAATTGTACATAACTTCTGTCCGGTTAAAACGTCTTTTAATTCTTTCTTTGTGTGTTGGATATCCTTCCATTCCAAGACGAATTTTCTTCATTTCTCGGTCTTTTAATACTTGTTTTGCAACATCACGATTCTCAGCATATTTGAAGAATTTATATAAAGGAGTACTAAAAATGTAACATAGATAATTAATAGTATTTTTAAAAATATTAGAACCTGTAGACAACTTGTGGAACATCTTCACCACCAATTTGAGGTGGATACTCCTAAAATTACAAAAAATATTTCTAAAAAAATAATATCTCTCTTCTTATTGAGAAGTATTAAGGTATTTCGCTTTGAAAAAGATAGTGACTGTTACTTAAAAAGGATGTAATAAGTATCCTAACCGGAAATATTCTGATTAATAATACCTCATCCCAATCGACCACATCTTCATCCATTAAAACAACAATATGGCATTCTCGTTCACCCCTCTCTGCAGCAATCACTAATTGAGGCAAAATTATCTAGAAAAATTATTAGAATTAATTTAAATTAAGAAATTCCAAGGTTCATGGTAGAGCCCAATCTGTCACGACCGTTTGCCGCGAATAACTATTTCCACTGCTTAAATTTACGATTGATCAAAAATTTTCCTTATTGATTATTATTGTCCTTTATTTAAAAGCGGCAACCCTTACTTCCTCCAAAAAGACATTAAATTGTCCCCGCGCTCCTTCGTTGCTAATCTCATGTAGAAGTGAACGTAAGTCTTGACATTTAACAGTATTCACATTAAAGGGCACCATAAGATAATCACAGGCCTAAAAAATAAAAATCGATTAAGGTGCGAACTAAGAAAACCTCTCGTAATTCAGAGACAGAAACATTTGGTGGGCAATTCATTATCCCTCGATGATAGTAATCCTAAAAAATAAGGAGTTAAAAATAAGGATTATTTTTCAGGCAAAATTTCAGTAAGTTCAAAGATGAATACCATTATAACTCGAAAACATGGTGCCGAAATACCCTCAGCCACGTCATATTCGTTTTGGTCGTTAGGTCTGACAAGATCGAGAATACCGTTCACATCATTGCAACCATTATTTGACATAACAGAAACATTAGAGGCTTGGAAGATTTTTTATAATTTCTAGAAAATAAGGAAAATACCTCCTGCATTGCGTGCTCGCATTGCAAACATCCGACCAAGCATTGTATCTGATTTAGCAATCAAACGAGCTGGATTGACAATAAAACGGCTATTCTCCACAACAAGAACAACATAATCACCTTAAAATTTTTTAAGAAACAAAATATTAAAATACCACTCTCGCCACAACTCAATTCAATTGTCTGTGCAGGTTGTTGAGAATGAGGCTTAGAAAGCAATGATTCATGCGCAGGGCCGCCTAAACTCATACTCCGTTGATTTCGATGGCAATTATCCTAAAATAGACTTTATGAAAATTTAAATTTTTAAAATAAAAGAAGTGGAGAATACTAAAAGTGATAGAGAATATGATCTGATAATTAATTTTTAGAAACACTTAAACACATAATAAATTTATTACTTTACGAAATTAATTAAATGTCCTTTTCCTTTTTATTAAAATTCCACGTGTTTAATAATAAGAGAAACGTCTAAATAAATTAATAAAATAAAACATGCCTTTATACTGCTGATATTATTACTAGCCAATGAAGAGGAAGAATGCTTCATAATTATTTTTGCTTCTCCTTATATGTTGGCTTTTCCCTTGATTAATTCGTGTAGGACGTGAGAAACACTAAAAAGAAAGAAAAGATTGGATTATTAACACCACACAATTAATAAACAAACAAATTAAAGAGGATTAAAAGTACATTAGACCCATGGCAACCAAATAATAGTAAAAGGTTTTATTGACATACAAAAGGAATAAAATCACTAATTAGCCAAATTAAAAATTGAAAAATAAAACGAAATTTTATTTGAAAGGCCCCGGAAGGAAAAAAAGAAAAAACATAAAAAAAACAACAAAACACAATGCAGGAAAATAAAAAAGTCAATTTTAAACACAAAAATACGCAAACCGCATGGCGCGGTTTCCGTTCCTCGCTGATCAAGTGGCCGATGGCCAAATTATTAATTGGCATTTAGTGGGTTTTCTATTTTGACATTTCTATGTGAATTTTACGAAATATCGAAAGACAAAAGGTCAATATTTAAAAAGTCCGACAATAGCTTTTGAGCTTCTTTTGTTCCGAGCTTTTTCTATTGTTTCGGTTTTTTTTTTCGTTTTTTAAAATTAAATTTAAAATTAGATATAATTTATTCATTTTATTGATCATCTATGACAGCATTTGAAGAGCTAGGTGTTCTTCCTGAAATTGGAAAAGCTCTTGATGAATTGGATTGGACGTAATTATTTATATAAACTCTTAAACTGTAAACATTCTTCTTTTTCAGTCTTCCTACAGACATTCAATCTGAGGCAATTCCTGCAATTCTTGGCGGTGGCGATGCTTGTATGGTTTGTTTATTTTATTTTTTTATATTTAAATTCTTCCTATTAAATTCTTCCTTCATTTTTAGGCTGCTGAAACTGGGAGTGGCAAAACTGGTGCATTTTGTGTTCCGGTTTGTTTTATTTATTTGTTTAAGCCATTGATATTTTAGATTTTACAAATTGTCTATGAATCAATGCAACCTAAAATCTCTAAAGCTAAACATGACATACAAGGAGCGCAAGGTTATTTAGACTTTCTTCAGTTGACTTATCACTTTCTCAACCTCAAATCTTTTGATTTACCATTTTATTAAATTAGACAATTGGAGGATGAGCATTCACGACAGAGATCACAACCTTGGTGTTGATCAAACTGGTCTAATTTGTGAAAGCAATCATCCTAAATTATGGAGTGGTGTAAGAGCGATGAGAGGTGTTAAATGCTCTGGTATCTTTTATATTGGGAGTTTAATTGATTTTTAATTTTAGGTAAATATTACTACGAAGCTATTATTGAAAGTGATGGGCTTTGCCGTATGGGTTGGGCAACTTTCCGTGCAAATTTAAATTTAGGTGATTTTTATATGAAAACTTTTTAGATAACATTATAAGTTTAGGAACTGATGACCAAGGTTTTGGGTTTGGTGGAACTGGAAAAAAGAGCAATGCTGGTAAATTTGACGATTATGGTGAAAGTTTTACTTTGAATGATGTAATTGGATGTTATCTTGATTTGGAAGTTGGGCGTATTCATTGGGCTAAAAATGGCAAAGAATTTCCCTCTGCCTATTCATTGAGAGGCGAATTTGTGAAGGCAGGTCTATTTCCTGCTGTTGTCATTAAGGTTTAAATTTTTTGTCTTTTTGTCGATATGAGCCAATTACTTCAACTCTTAATAAATTTTAGAATGCTCGCCTTCGGCTTAATTTTGGCCAGACTTCTTTCCGCTTTCCACCAAAGGGAGTGAGTATTTATTGATTTATTAACTCATTATAGTTACTATTTAATTAACCTGGAATATTTTATTTAAGGATTTTATTGCTCTTTGCCGAGCCGTGCCTGCATTTCAAGTAGAATCACCATCAGAAAGTAAACAGCATGACACTTCAGAAGAAGTAGAAAAAAGAAAACCAAATCAACCACTTTGCCTTGTCGTTGAACCTACAAAAGAATTAGCGCAACAAACATATACGCAAATAAATAAATTTATGAAATATCTAGACAATCCAAAAATAAAGTTTTTTTAATTTTAAATAATTCTTAGAATTTTTTCTTTTTAGAAATGTTCCTGTTGTAAGTGGAATAAATATGGGAGAACAAATGGCTTTAATCAATTCTGGTTGTGATATATTGACGTGTACACCTGGCAGAATACGTTCTTTGGTTCAGGAGGGACGCGTGGACCTTTCTCATGTAATTAATATTTTTAGTTTTTAAATAATTTATTTTTACATTTAGATTCGATTTTTTGTCCTTGATGAGGCTGATTCTCTTCTTGGAGGTCAAGGGGATTCGTCACAAATAATCTTCGAATTACACAGCCAAATTCCAAAATACGGACCTTCAGGTCAACGTCTTCAAATGATTGTATGTTCAGCAACATTACACAACATGGCCGTTCAAAAATTAGCTGTATTATTTTAAATTTCTATTTGTTTAAAAAAAAATTATTTTAGGCTCAATATATGTATTTCCCCCAATGGATTGATTTAAAAGGGCAGGACAGTGTTCCTGAAACTGTTCATCAGGTTTGGAATTTTACAACGTTCTTGAAAATTTTGACATAATTTTTCACTAATTTTTCCAAAATTAATAGTATTTATTTTCTAGGTTGTTTGTATGATCGATCCCAGAGAAGATAAAAGTTGGATTCGACTGCGTTCTCAGCCAAATAAATCAATCCAAACGGATGGGATCCACATAAATGACCAAATTCGTCCAGGCACGGATGCTCCTGAAACCTTATCTGAAGGTGTAAAAGTTTTGAAAGCGGAATATGTTCTGCGTGCTATAAATGCTCACAAAATGGATCAATGCATTATCTTCTGCCGTACAAAACTTGACTGTGATAATATGGAAAAATTTCTGACACCGAGAGGTTTTTTGTTACCTACCTATTTTTGATGTTATTGAGTTTTTGCTGCCGAATTTTTTCTCTTTCTAAAAACTAATTGATCTAAAAATCACTAAAAACTAATTGATATTTTCAATTTCGCTTTGAATTAAAATCTTTATTTAAGGTTATCCTTGTGTTTGTTTGCATAGTGATAGATCACCAGATGAAAGGACTCGGAATCTAAAATTATTTAAGGTTCGATTGCAAAATTAAATTTTAAAAATGACATTTATAGGAAAAGAAAGCCAAATTTTTGATTTGTACTGATGTTGCTGCTCGTGGATTGGATGTAACTGGAATACCTTTTGGTTAGAATGAAACTTATATTGTTTATTTATTCCTTTTAAAAAACTTAAATAAAAAATAAAAATAATAAATAAAGTGTATAACTGTAAATTATTTTTAGTTATTAATGTTACATTACCGCCAGCTGAAGAAAAGGCAAATTATGTGCATAGAATTGGGCGTGTTGGTCGAGCTGAGAGGTTTGTATAAAATTCTAATTAAAAGTTTGGGATGATGAACTGATAAGAGTGATCAGTTCTCTCACTCTCCAAGTCGTCCGATCGACTCATTTCAGTTGTCTGATTTTCTTGTGAAACTTTTTCATAAGCTCGACTTTTCCACTTTACCACTAGGAAAGGAGTTAAAAGCTATTAAACATCTGCTAAAAACACAAGATAAATATGTATCTGAATGAGTTTTGAATTAAAGAAATGGGTTGATAATCATTGATCCATGTCATTTAAAAACTTCTTTTGTTATTTTTACAAAAATTCAGAATGGGGTTGGCTATTTCGCTCGTTTCTTCATTTCCTGAGAAAGTTTGGTATCATCAATGTAAGAGCAGAGGAGCTAATTGCTCTAATACTCGACTTGTAACACAAGGAGGTTGTGCAAAATGGTTTGACGAGATTAACGTTAGTTTATTTATTTTAATTAAAAATTTAATAAAAAATAAATTTTTTAGTATTTGGGCGAAATCGAAGAACATTTGGGTGTTACAATTAATCGAGTGGGTCCTGATATGGCTGTTCCAATTGATGAATATGATGGAAAAGTTGTATATGGTGCTAAGAGGACAAATGAAGGTTTATTCAAGTTTATTAAAGAAAATTTTTATTTTGAGGTGGTCCACAATTTGGTCACGCAGTGGAGCTAAAAGGCATTTTGGGCGAGTTGGGAAGTTTGGAACGAGAAGTCCAGTGGTCTTATTTAAAATTGTTGAAATCTTCTCAATTTGTAAAGTAAATATTTTAATTAGATTTTGTTTTGTTATTTTTGTAATAATTTATATTTTAAATAGGTAAATTTTATTTATGAAAAAAAAATACTTTTTTAAATTAGAAAACAATAATATATAAAAATTTATTTTAAGTATTAAAATGAAATACTATGTATATATTTATATAAATATAAAATATTTTTAAAATATATGTACATGGTTGAAAAAAGGGATAAAATCAGACTTGGTAATGGACATGGATTTTGGTATCCGTGTCCGGATATTTACGGCGGATACCCGCAGGTATTCTGAAATTATCCGTATCTATTACCAAGTCTGGGAAAAATATCTCGTAATAGATTCTTTTTAGATGATTTACATATAATTTAGGTATTTTATACATTAATAAACACTGGGTAATTCTACACTTTTTATTTTTATTGTATTTATTCTCTTTTTATTATTTGTTGCATCAATTGGTGAAATTATACCTAAAAAAAATTATTTTTTTTAAAATTATTAATTGATCAGAAAAATACCCACCCCTTTTATTATTCCAACGTCCACGTTTTTCTCCCCCAGATTCATTTTCTTTTCGTTTTCTTCGTTGTTCAATAGCTGCGGCAATTCTTTTATTTTTACCATTAAAGGTGTCTAATGTCCACGAGGCTGGCTTTGCTGAGGCAAAAATACAAAAGAAAGCATTTGATAAATTTAAAATAATTCCGTGAATAAATAAAACTTTTGCCCAATCATCTTTTTTTTTAAATTCAAAATAAATTAATTTTAAATAAAAATTAAAATTTACGAGGTTCATTTTCGGGTGCAATAACTTCATTAAGTAAAGGAACAATTAACATACAAACACAATTTAAAAATGAAATATTTGCCTTAAAAATAAAATATTAAATTAAAAATATTTAAAGAACCAAAGTAAAATGTGAATGTTGTCTAGAAACAATTTGTGAAGATTTAAAGAAACCACCAGAATTAAAACCAAGAATACAAGTAGAGGCAATTAAAACAATCTTTAATTTTAATTATTTATGGGTCTTTAATTTTATGATATTTTTTGATAGGACAGGAATTTTTAATTTAGATTTTTTCTACTAGAGAGATCGGTATTTTTGAAAGACATGGGCCTGTTTCTGGGTTCTGGATTTATTGTACTGGGCCGGATCCTTGGCCTGTAGTCCAGGAAAAACCCAGGCCGATCTCTAGTATTTACTTGGTTAATTATTCTTGATATTTTTTAAACTTTTCACTGAAGGGATAATTAATCGAGGAAAGGCAATTAATCTTGTAAATACGGTAATACATAAAAGGAAGGGGTATTTATCTAAGCTTCTCTATTTTCATTTTTAATTAAAAAAATCACCAAACAAATAGAAGGATTTTCTCTTGGATCCAAAACAGCCAAAATACAAAAAAGAACCCCCATTGCAGACAAAGATAATGTATTATAAAGTCTTAATTTAGCTGCATCACTTATAAATCTTTAAAAAATAAATTATTTAAATTATTAAAATAAATAAAAACTTTATTTTGTCAGAACTTTGACCAGCAACAAGTTTAATAAAAAACATAATTGCTGGAGAAACAGCTGAAGCCATCCCTGTTTGGCTTATTGGTAATTCCAAAACCTTAAAAAATATTTTTTAATTGATCTTGAATCAAAATAATAATAAAAAATTAAAAAATGATAACTATAAAATTAATTTGGGAGTAATTAATCGAGGGAAAACAACCAATTATTCAAGAATTGTAGAAAGAGTTTAGCAAAAGTTTAGCCATCTGGCAGGATTCGAACCTGACCTTCTGACAGTCATTGCTAGGCGCTTTCACTCAACACATACAGGAGCTCCACTGAGCTACCGGGGCATCGACTAATGCTTTTCTTTTTCCTTTTTAGATAGTTTAACTCCCGCCTAAGTGTTTTAAATTAGAGTAAGTCGAGTTCGAGCGAGTTCGAGTTACTCGACTCGACCGCTCGGGTTTTTTGAGTAATTACTCGACTCGGAACTCGGGATCATAATACTTGGATTACTCGAGCTCGGAAACTTTCTACTCGACGTACTCGGTTAAAACCGAGTATTTTTATGCCCCCATCTGCGGCGCAAAAAGGAAGATTTTTAGCTTAAGGATCTTCCAAAATTCTCAAAATTTTCGCCTGCGGCGCTGAAAAGCCAAGAAATTTAGCGTGTTGGTCTTCCAAATTTCTCAAAATTTTTGCCTGCGGCGCTAGAAAAAAAGAAATTTTGCTCTTTGGCCTTCCAAAATTCTCGAAATTTTCGGCTGCGGCGCTGAAAAAGGAAGATTTGTGTATATCGGAAGATTCAATCAAGTTAAGTGGGTTTTAGTAATATCCGGATATTTCAAGGGATCTGGCCTTCTGAAAATTGGTGTCACTACTTAACCTTGAGAAATTCTCAAAATTTAAGCCAATGGCGCGAAAAGAGAGGGATAGAGCAACGGATCTCATGATCACTTTTCGACAATATACCTAATCCGATATCCCAATTAATCTCCCGAATTTCCAAGATTTTGCTCCTAATAACCCAAATCTCACGATAATCGGTTCAAATCCCGCTTAATCCCTTGATCTCCATCTCATTCCTCTTATCACTCGATATCCCCTTAATCTACACAAATCCCCGAAATAATATTATCCATTGTTGTATAACATGGATCGTGTGCATATCATGGAATTTCTGCGGATTAAAAGGGATATAGACGGATTAACGAAAATAACTGGGATTTGGATGAAGATCTAACGCATTACTGCCAACAAATGCCCAAAACACGGCACTGATTATGAATAGTTTTTAGTAGAGTTGGACAAGCCGAGACCGAGACCGATACCGAGATTCTCGGCTTTTTCCAATATCGGTCTCGGTATTTTAAAATACTGTTTTATAAAAATTACTCGATTACTCGACTACTCGAACTCGAACTCGGCCTAAAAAGTTGAGCTCGAGCTCGAACTCGGGTTTTTCAAACTAGGATTACTCGATCTCGGTTTTTTCCCAATTACTCGGTACTCGACTTACTCTATTTTAAATGCTCCAGGTGAATTATCCTTACACTGTTAATGGAGAGAGAAAGTTAGAATTCAAAAGGTATTTAATTTTTAAATTAAATGATTTGCCTTATTAATATATGTAGGCATAAATTGAAGAGATAATTGTGTTCCCATAAAATTACCAAATGAAGCAACCTAAAAAACAAACAGAGATCATTCAAAAAATTCAGAAAATTTACTAAAATAGCCCAAATAGCCATATCGCTATACATTGCTTTATAAGGAACTTTTGGAGATTTTTTGTGTTGTTTTCCAGGTCCAGAGTAAATAGAGCCTCCTTTATTAAACATAACTTTAACTAATTCTGTTCTGCTAACCATTGGATGGTCATGTGGGTAATTTCTGTGATACTTTAAAAGAAAAAAATTTTTTAAAGAAATATTTTTCTTTAAAATTAACCAGCATAAATAAAGTAAAAAGTATTATAGAAACAAGTCCATGTAAATAATATACAGCTGGCCACCCAACAGAAGATGTACATAATTCACCAGCTAAAGGCATGGTAAATAATGGAGCTATCTTTAAATTAAAATTATAAATAATTTATATACTATTAAATACTCTTAAACAAAGAACGGTCGCTTTAAGCCACCGGTTTTCGGTTTATTGGCCTAAAACACCGGGTTTCGGTCAATAAATTTTTTTGGCCCGAACTACTTTATACCCGATATTAATATATAGGGCCAAATTTTATTTATTTTTTTCGAGAGGTATAGAGAGTATTATGTATATATCCAAGTGTTTGTAGTATATCGAAAATTATTTGGATTATATTATAATTAATTCTACACCTACTACATACATAATGTATTAAAAATCAGATTTACAATATAATTTAAAAACTCACAAACAAATTATTTCAATTTTATTTATTTCTTAAATTTACCTGTAAAAAACTAGATAATATAGCAATAAATATTCCATTCTGTTTTAAAGTAGACCAATGTGAGGTGATTGAACCCATCACCGGGAGACAGGCGGAAAATGCAGCGCCTTTTAAATAAATTTATTTTTAGTTATAATTAAATTTAAATTTACCCTGAACTATTCTCATAGCAAGAATATAAGGAAAGCCGTTAACTGCCGCTATAGGTATCTAAATAAATAGGTGAGAGGGTAATTTATTTAATAATTACCAAAAGAGTAGATAAAGCACTCATATACCCAAGACATCCAAAAACAATTCTTCAAAAAAGCAAAATTAAATTAATTTTAATTTAGTATTCACCTAGACCCAAATTTTCCAAGTAAAATAGTTAAAGGAAATACAGCAAGTAAAGCCCCCACAGCTACAGCCATAAATAAAGCTGTTCTTTCTGCACTAGAATAATCCAAATCTTCGTCATAATTTGTGGAAGAAACTTTTTTTAAAATTAAAATTAATTTTTAGTTAATTTAAATAATTACTATTTATTTGACTAAAATTATCTGGACGAACACCAGCCATACAAATATAACTTTAAATTTATTTTTTTAATAGATAAAAAAATAAATTATACGTGAAATTAAATGTTAAAATATTTGATAAAATTGAAGACAAACAAAGTGTTGATATAACCATTATTGTAAAACGAATCTTTAATTTTAATAAAAAACTTTAAATAAATTTAAATATTTTATAAAAAATTATTTTCTCTGAACCTGAGAGTTTTTTAATTTTAAATTTAATAATTCAGATATGAGACTTGATATCATTACTTTTAATTTTTACTTAAAAAATAATTTGAATTTTGTTAAAGGTAAAGGATTAACCCCAATTATAATTACTAACTTTTTCCCAATTTAACTGGGGATTTTTTAAAGGGAGGGGGGTTCCCTTATTCAATAAAAAATTAGGGAAATTAATTAAGAAAAAACTATTTCCCAAATTTACCTGATGTCCAAAAATACAATTATCAGCCCCTTCATCCTCCCATTCATCATCATCACCAATTATAGAACCACCATAAGAAGTATCTCCTCCTCCACCACCTCCTCCACCTCCTCCATTAGTTTCAGATCTATTTCTATTACTCAAAGTATGTACTAAACGATTAGACCACTTTTGTAAAAAATAAATTTTAATTTTAAAAATTAATTAATTAATTTACAGTATTTTGTTGTTTATTCCCTCCTTCTCTACTACTTGATTGACTACTTCCACTACTTTTATTACTTCTAATACTTTCTCCTTTTTCTAATAAATTTACATCTAAAAATTGTTTTTGATTATTTTGTTGTTGTTTTGATTCAATTTTCTTTTCTTTTAGATCTTTTGGAATTCGAATACAATTACTAAAAAATTAAATTATAATTTTTAAAATATTTTATTAAAATATAATTAAAGGTCACACATGGGGGGGAGGTGTGCAGACCTAGAGAGCTTTGACTTTAATTAAATTATTTATATAAAATTTTGGAGCCAATTAAAGAACAATTTAAGCAATTAGAGGGTCGGGTCTGGCTGGCGTTCGAATCAGTTTTTCAGCCTTAATTTTGTTGAGTTATATTTCTGTTCGTGCCAAGTTTTTATCGCGTCCACCTATGATAATTTTCTTTTTTTCATTTATACATTACAATAATGTAATTACTATTTATATACCCCCAAAATATTTCCAAATATTTAGTAAATCTAAAAAAATTACCCAGTAACAGGATCCATCCCTTCCAAACATCCATTTCCTACCCTTACTTCTTCATTTTGTTCATTAATCATCGGTGGACAATAAATTTCTTTTTTAATATTTTTTAAACTTTCATCTTGTATTATAACAGAAATACAGTTTTGAGTATTTTCTTCGTTAATCATTTATTAATTATTAATTATCGTTCTATAATTTAAATGTATACTTAATCTAACCTCAATTTCACGTTCCAACATTCAACTATATATCCTCATATTTAAAAAATCGAGATCAGACAGTAAAAATAAAAATAAAAATTAACAGTAATTTAAAAATTAAAACACAAACACTCACACTTTTAAATTACTAAAAAAGAAGGAAAAGAAAAACTCTCCCCGCCCATAAAATTAATTACGGTTTATCGCCTTATGATACATTTCTTTTCTTAATTTTTGTTTTTAATTAAAAGTATTTTAAAAATTAAATTTATTAAAACTTGTTTTGGAGATTTTGTATTAAACGAGAAAGTGTTATAAGATAAGAGAGAGGAGGCCTAAATTAAAGTTACAATAATTTAAAGTTTAATTAAGGGCACTCTAAAAGTTTATAAAAATATTTAAAATTATTTTTAGAAATTTCTAGAACAATTACTATATTTTATTAAAAAGTTGTGAAGGATATCGAGTATAGTAGTGGACCTCTTAATTAGTGAATTTTCAAAATTTGAATTCAAGAGCCGACAATAAGAATTCAGTCATTCCTTTAAAATGCCTTGATAAAGGAAGTAAATAAAAATAAAATTTTTAAGTAAAATGGATTAACTTGTTATTTATGAACAAAAAATAAATAATTTTTATTTATTTGAAATAAAAATTGGGGAGAGAGAACATTTCTTTCTCGTCCATAAAATAGGATTTAAAAAAGTCTCTCTCAATTCTTGACCCTAACAAGAAAAAACTAAAATGTACTATTTTTTTAATTTTTTTAAATAATAAAATTGGCCAAAAATGAAAGTTGAAAGAAGAAAGAGAATATATTTATAAGTAAAAACTGTCACATCCCTAAAAAGTATTAAATATATTTTATTGTTTAAGGGGAGGGAGAGAAAATTTTTCGTGGATCCATTGACGCAAATATATTTATTTATTTATTAAATATTAAAATCCTTTTTTTAAATAAAAAAAATGTGACTCGGTTTTGTATTTTTTGATTTAAACAAAATTTTGTTTTTGGGCGTTGATTGAGTTTTTGTGGGGGGGGGGGGGGGGGTTGTGGTGAGTTGTTGATAATCAAAAAAACTAAAATTGTGAAATTCTAGTCTCTCTTTAGTCTTTGAAAGAGACTAGAATTGAGAGACAAAGAGTTGTGAAATTTTGCATAAATATTCTCGATAATTTTTTCTACAAATTTAAGTTTAATATTTATTAAATTTTATAATTGAAGAGGTATAAATAAGCAATTCCCAAAAATTTGCTTTTTCGCTTATAATTTTTAACCCAAAAATTTTTTTTGAGAAACCATAAAATTAATCTCTTCTAAAAACAAACAAAATTCCAAAAACTCTAAATTATCAACCAAAAAAATTACTACATAAATTTCCGCGCCCAAATATACCCTACCTAGACTGATTAACTCTGGCCATAAAATAAAGTTTTAACAAAAAACGGATTAATTTTTGTTTACTTCAAAAAATATTAAAAATTATAATAAAAAAATTTTTGTTGAACTTCCTTAAAAATATATAAAAAAATTATTTTTCTAATAAAAAAACCTCGTGGGGGTATTTTAATAAAAATAAATAAGGTCAGGCAGGTTTATTTAACCAAAAAATGTGATATATTTTATGCAAAAAAAGTTTTTATCTATTTTCATTTTAAATTCATCTATAAACGATTAAAGTTTGCTAAACAAAAAATTTTTTTTGATAAAAAATTTATTTAAATAAATATGTATTACTAATTAGTTAAGTAAATGAGAAAGTATTGCGAAGAACAAAAAAAAAGAAAAAATATTTTGAAACAAAAAATAATTTAAAAAAATATTTTTTTGAATACAAATTCTTAAATTTAATATTTTTCTACAAATTTTGTAAATTTTTTATAGATGCTACGTTTACATAAAAAACGCTAGCGTTTTTCCGCAGCAAAAAGGTATTTTTAAGTAAACGTAGAATGACGCGAATTTTTTTTTGAAAATAAAACTTTAATAAATTATGTAGAATTATTTAATAATTTAAATGGAAATTATTTTTGATAAAATTCGAAATAAAGAAAAAAGATTTTAAAAATATTATTTTTTAAAATAATTTAATATTCTAAGAATTTTAAATTAAATTTTACAAAGATTGGCAAAACTTAAAATATTCAAAAATTAAAAGTAAATTTTGAATTAATTTCAATTAATCTCCTCTCTCTCCTTGTCCCCTTCTAGTCTCTAAATTGTTTTTATTTTTTTAATAATTTTTTTAAAAATTTAATTTTAATCCCTTAAATTATTTCCCTAAATTAAATATTAAATTTACTAATTTAATTAACGTAATATCCGTTTCCTATTTTTTATTCGCTAATTTTGAGGTCATTTAGGCAACATTTTTAGTTTGTTTTTATTTTTCCTTCTCGATCTTTCTTTTATTTTTTGATGATTCATTTAATTAAAATTTAATAAATTTAATTATTTTAATAAATATTTTTGAGAATTAAAAAATAATTTTATTTATTTTTTTATTAAAGTATTTAGTAAGTACTTCCTTATATTTTAATTATTTCCTTTTTTAGTCTTTACTTTTTCTTAATTATCCCTCGTTAATTTGTAAAAACATTTACCTACCTAAATTCTTTCCCATAAACATAAATTAAACAAAAAAATAACACGAGACGTAACGCTAAATTTAAACATAAATTTTGTTTAAATCTTTAAGGCGTAAAAGTTCAAAGTTGAAAATAAAAAACTGTTCTACCAAATATTAAAGACAAAAAATTTAAAAAGAATAAAAAGTTAAAGTTTTCGGTTCCTAGCAAATTCCCGATTTTTAAGTAGACAAATAGAGAGATGTTCGACTCCCCCATTTATTCGGCCTCCCGTTAGCCGATAAATTTTTGGAACTGGTAGATATATCTGTTATAATATAGTAAAGCATCTGGGCTAAAGTTATTTGTCTTCTTCAGCTAGTGCAAAAGGCATCTTCGGTAGACCGAACTCAGTAATTAAATAACTATGTGTATGCTTTACAATATTTTTTAAATTCATTAATCGCTCCTCATCGAAATTTTAAAATTTACAAATTATTTTTGAAAGTACATATATTTAGACATAACTTATAGTATAATAGTTAATTTTAATTTCTGCCAATTCTTCAATTCAAAAACTTTTTCTTTAAACTTTTTCTCGTGATTTTTGAAGAAAATAAAAATGTCTTTTTGCAAAATTTACTTTAAAATTATGTTTTTATTTAAAATATTTAACAAAAAGTTTGTGTCATGTGATAATAAAAACAAATAAAATATAAAAAAAAGATTTTTCTCGAAAATTTATTTTATAAAAATGTAGTAAATTTAAATATATTTTTGCATAAAAACACACAAAATCGTTTTTAAAAAGTTAAAGTTAAATTGAATTCGATTAAACAAAAAAATAAGAATTTTAAAATTACACAAATATCAAGGTCGTGTCAAAAAATTTTTAATTTGTTAATTAAGTCCTCTATTCAATTACCACTTGATTTCAGATTATTTTCTGATATATTCAAACTTTTGGCCCCAAAAAATAAGAACTGGGAATGTTGAAAAAAAGAAAACGAAAATGGAAGAAGCAACATCTCTGGTAATAATCAGAGTTCATGTAAAAATATTTAATTGTAATGAACCAAAATTATAGAAAGGGATTATAGGTATACTAAATAGAGATCGGTATTTTCAAAAATCCTGGATCTGGATTTAGGTTAGTAACCTGGACAGGATTCTTGATCTGGATCCAGGAAAAATCCAGACTGGATCCAGATCCAGACCGATCTTTTATACTAAACATTGAATTTAAATATAAAAAATAAAGGAAGAGAAAATTTTAACCAGAAAAATATTTTTTAATTTTTTCTTTAAATTATCTTCCTTTTTTCTTTTAAATTTTTAGAATTATTTTTATTTTCATTTTCATTTATTTTTTCATTAAATAAAGGTTGTTGTTCATCCATTAACTTTAATTTTTGAATTTTTTGTTTTTCAGATAAAGTATTGTTTGTTGTTATATTTTCTTTTGTTGTTTCCCTTTTTCCTTCTCCATTACAGACATATTCAACTAATTGAGGTATTTGGTGTTTTTCATGGTAATTTTGAATGTGTTCTTTACCTACAAATTTTTAATTTTTCAACAAAATTCCTTCCCTCTCTTTCCCTTACTTCCAATAAAAGTCCCACAAATAAATAAATATGGAAGACCACGATGAGCAGTTAATTGTTCTAAATTACGCTCAACAAGTCTAGGTTTACCATTCCCAATTCTATCAACATAAAAAGTAACTAAAGGAAGGCCATAAACCTTTTTTAAATTTAAATTAAAATTAAAAATAAATTTTTTTTAACTTCACGTAACAAAGTTTCTAATTTACGAGATCCAGAGGAACTTGAATCGGCATATAAAACGGCAGGAAGTCGCAAAATCTTTTAAATTTGTTTTAATTAAAAAGAATGTTGGTATGTGATAAATGGTTGGAATTTAAATTAAATTTGTTAGAAATTCTTTAATAGACTCTCAACATATAATGAACACTAAGGAATTTGTGAAAGAGTTTGTTAAACCGAGAGGTTAATTATATATTGAGAATTGACTGTCTTGAATTATTTTAATAAAAATATTAGGGGATTTGAAGTATAATTTTTTAAATTATATCCATTTATTTTTTAAAGTTTTTGTATATTTTTTTCAATAAAAATTTCCATGTTAATTTACTTGTTGTGTAAGTGCTTGAATTGATGTAACACTTTTTTGAATTGGTTGTTGGTGTTGTTGTTCTTCTTTTAAATTAGAAGGTAATAATTGTTCTTCCTTCTCTTTATTTTGTAAAGTGCCAAAAGGGAAGGGAATATCTGAACCTCTAAGAGAATAATGATTATTTGAAGAGGAAGAAGAAAAAGAGGAGGAAAGGGAGGAGGAAGAGGTATTTGTTGTTGGTTGAGTTAATAAATTATTTAAATTAAAAGAAGTTGGGGGTTTTATAAATGATTTTGAAGAAATTAAATTGTTGTTGTTAGATGTTTGTGGGGGCGGATATGAAGAAGAGAATGAAGTAGTTGGTGATTGTTGACAAGGATCTGTTTAAAAAATTAATATTAAATTTAAAAAATATTTAAAGGTATTATCCTGAAAAAAAGAAATTAATTATCTAATATTTTATTTAAAAATTAAATTTTTCTGTCCAAACAATTAAATTATTTTAATATAAAATAATTCTCTCCTTTCTGATGACTATTCTCAATTTATTTCAAAAGTATCAGTTTTCTTCTTCCTTCCTTTATTAAATTTAAATACCTTTAATACTATCAATTCCTTGCAAAGAAGTCTCCAAACCTACAAAAGGAGCAACACCTGAAGATGAGGATCCACATAAATTTTTCCTTCCCTCAGATTGCCAAATATTTGGAATTAATTGGTTATTATTGTTTTTGTTAACGATATTCTAAATAAAAATACTTTTTAGATTATTTAACAGTATGGATTTGTAGTCAGTTTCCCCCGAGAATGTTTTGTCAACAACCCCCCCCCCCCCGTCAAGAAAATTTAAAAAATTCAAATCATCCAAAAAATTAATTACCAAATAATCAATGTATGGCTGCTCATCCAATTTAAAATAATTATTTTTATTATTTTCAATTAATGTCTTTCTCATTTGTTGTTCTCCCTTTCCTCCTTTCCCTTCCAACCCTTCAAGCACTGCCCGTGCTGCTGCTTCTCCAATTAAATTGCCTGTTGAAACTGAAAATTTTTGTTGTTGATTTTCATTCCAATCATCACTTTGTTCTTCTTCTTCTTCATCTCTTCCCTCAATATCAAATTCTGAAGGAATTCCATTTCCATAAATAAAATTATTATTATCACCAAATTGGTTTCCAATAGAGGAATAGTAACTAAAAATAAATTTAAAAGGAAATTTAATTCTTCCGGAATTTTCCAACCCTCCTCCTACAAAATATCCCTGAGATTGAGGAAATTGATAAGAATTTGTATTTGATTGAATTAATGATCCATAATTATTTAAAATATTTTCATTATTTAAATTATTTATTCCATATATTTCTTCTAAATTAAAATTATTTTTGGGAATATTGGACATTTGAACAGGAAATGGTGCTGGAACACTTCTTTGTAAACTAACATCTTTTTAAAAATAGAAAAAGAATTATTTTTTATTTAAATTATTTTTATTTTTAAAATAAAATTATTTCAAAAAAATTTTAATAAAGTCGAATCAAATTTTTAGAAACTTTCGAAACTAGAAATTTTGCCCTTAACAAGTGGGTGCCTTAAAATCGAAGATACAGCTTAGGTAGTCCTCATTAGAGATCGGACCAAACAAATATTTAATATCGGAAAATTAAATAATTTGCTCAAATATTTGATTTTGCCGTTTGTCCAATCTCTAGTCCTCACCCCACTCTTCTACCTATTCCTCGATAAAAAAAGCATTGAGAAATTTAAAAACTCCTCTCCAAACTTTGGGGCACCTAAAAGTTGAGGAGGTTTGACTGTATTCTTAATTATTAAAATCACACCTTTTATTTCTCCAATCCAATTTCCTGTACATCCATTTATACCTCCCCCATTATTCCCAATATCATTACTTCTATCACTAATTTCTTGTCTTTCTATATTATTAAATTCTTCCTTTTTTGTTGAAGGATCAGTAAATTCTTTTTATTAATTAATTTAAATATTTAAATTAATTAATTATACCTTTATTAATTTTATAAGGGGGAATTAATGTTGGAAATTCATTATTTTCTTTATTATTTTCATTAAATGTCAGTTGTTGTTGGGATGAGGGGCGAAGTAAAAATGATTTTGAATTAATTAAAAAATTTTCTTTAAATTATTTTTTTAAAAGAGAATTTAAAAGGGGAAAATACCCAAATTTTGATTATTATTTTCAACTCCAAAATCACACATTCCATATGGAGGGCAAGGAAATTGTTGTTGAAATTGTTGTTGTTCAGATTCCAAATTGTAAAAATTATTTGGGGAAACTTCATAAAAATCATCGGATGTTTGGGCTAATTAATTAAATAAATTTTTGAATTATTAATTATTAAATTCATTCTAGAAAACACATTGTGCCCCCTTTTTACCCCCTTGTTGACCGTCTCTGAAAAAGTAAGCCTGGAGAGAATAAAAAAATTCAGTAGAATAACGAATAAAATCCCGAAAATCCGGAGAAATCTCTAGTTTAATTTCTTCAAGGCATACATATCTCTTTATTTCTGATCCCGATCGGCGATTTATAATTCAACGGTATAAATCTTTTATGTAAAATTTTAATTATCTTTAAGTGTTAAAAATAATGCCCCCTTTTTGGCCGACTTATTATTAATTAATTAATTTAATAAATACCTTTACAAAAATTATTGAGCAAAAATAATAAAAAAATAAAATAATTAAATAATAATAACCACAGCCATTTGTTTTTCATTTTTTCTATTTAATTTTATCTCTTTTTCATTTTTCTTTGAAGATATTTTGAAAATAAATTCCATTTAAATAAATTTAAATTTAAAAACTTAATGATGAACATTTACATTAAAGATTAATCTTTTCTTAAATTAATTAAAAATTATGGAATAAAAATAGTAGAAAAATTATTTTGAAAAAATATTTAAGGTTTGAAACAAAAAAATATTTTAAGAATTTCACACTTTAAACTAGTTTGTTCTCAACCCTCATCTGCTTTAGACAAAAATTCTTGAATTTACTAATCCAAAAAGACTAGCAAAAAATAATTAACATATGTAAAATTAAACTAGCCTTAAAGGAAGTAATTTACAAATTATTTTTAGAATCAGGCCAAAAGATGGAATTTACTAAATTAGCACAAATATCGCTTTCAAGTATTTCTGAAAGGGAAAAAGTATGTGATGAATTGCAAGCAAATCTTTCAGCGGAGGACAAAAAGGGAAGTTGCCCTCCCCCGAATATATACACAAACATTCATTCATTTTTTACTCAAGTATTTATGTCCTCTTTTTAAAAAAATTAAAAGTAATATATACTAGACAGTCATGAATTACCAGCCAGTTAATTCCATATTTCTGCGCAATAGGGACTAGTAATATTTTAAGTAAATTTTACTTTTAAAAGGACGAGTCAACAACTAATTTGATGAAAGGAAAATTTAGGTATTTTTGAAGAGGTTAAAAGGGAAACAGGACAACAGCTTTCAATTTCTAAGTCTACTTCAATTTAGTTCAAGTATAAAATTTAAAATTGGTGTTAAACACATAAAAATAACCATTAAACCCATTTTAGACAAGAAAAAAACAGTCAATTTTATGAGCAAAAAAATTCCAGAAACAAAAATTTGCAACAAAACAAAAAATTTATTGTAGCAAAACATTTGACATATATAGCGGGGATTGTTTAAAAATAGCTGGTATTGTCTTCAAAAAACATAAAGATGAGAGGGGTCAACATTAAAGTCTTTGATATTTTAGATATAAAAAAATAACAAAAAATATTTTTAAAAACAATTTAAAGACTTTAATGATTAAATTACCTAAAATAATAGACGTGAACAAAAAATGATATTTTCCTCTTAACAAAATAATTTAGAAAACAAACAAACTTGGAAAATAACATCCTTCCTCTCTTTTAAATTTAATAGGACGCTCATATAAAATGCTTCTTTTCCAATTCTTCCTTCTTCTTTTACATAATAACGCAATTCTTGTCGGAATCAGATCCATATTGAACTCCATTAAAACTCTGATTTAAAACCGATTCACGCCAAGCATTAACTTCACGGTCAGGATTCAAAAGTTCCGTACGAATGCAGCGATCATGTGGCCAAATCTGGTTTTTCATGACATAACTGTTTGGCGGTTGGTGTTCAGCATTCGCATTACTAGACCAAATCTGAACAATTTAGAAATTTTTCAAAGTTCAGTTAAATAATCAAATCCAACCGTAGCATGTTTTCCTGGCAAAATCTTTGCGCGCGAAGGAAACTTGAATGTAGTCTCAATTTCTCCAGCTGTTGATCGAACTACCCAATTGCCAACAGAGATAGTTTCATCTCCCTTATTGTAAAGCCGAATGAATTTACCATCAGTGTCATGTTCCTCGATGATTAAGTCACCCACTCCATCGCCAGTAGTCTACAAAAAAGTGAATTAACTTTTGGGATATAAAATTTACTTTTTTCTCAATCCCTCCTCAATTTTTTCCCTTGTCCCCATTTCGATGGGGGGGGGGCTAACAATAAGTCAACGCATTTAATAAATTATGGATCATAAATAATTTCTAATTAATCAAATTAGAACATTATAAAAATAAAGAAAAACAAACCGTCCACTTTTGAGCCGATTGACCAATGCTAACAAAATCCTCTTGGTTTACACGACGACGCTTTGTTCCACGTTGTGATCCAACCATAAAAACGTCACCACCGCCGCTTCCATTGAATACAGAAGGTGTAGATCGAAGGCCAACACGTGTAGATGACATCGTAGCACTCAAATTAGAGGTCGCAGCCGAAGTATTCGGGCTGCCTGATGGAGTGATACGCAATCTATAAATATAACCATCAGGATAGCAAAAAACTATTTATAACCGAGTCTCTTCCTGCTCCAACATTTGCTGATAAGCATGCAATTCAGTGTCCAGTTTAACTTTCAAATCAAGCGCATCCTGATAGTCTGATGTAAGATTTGCGATTTCCAATTTTAACTGAGCAATTTGCTCGTCTCGTTGTTGAATCCGAATTTCGGCATCTTCATGCGCTCTGCGCAGGGTTCCTTCCAGTTCCTATATTTTTAAAATACTTTTTTACGTCTAAAAGAAAAACCTTAATACGACGAGTAAGCCCATCAACAATCCCTTGATGGTCTTTTGTTGTACGTTCATATTCCCGATTTTGAACAGCAAGAGAAGTCGCCTCTTCACGAGCACGAGCAGAAGCTTCCCGATATTTGGCGGCCTGATTATTGGCTTCTACCAACTTTGCATGAAACATGTCTTCAACCTGTATGATTCAAGTTATAAATTTATTCAAAAAATGAAAATTTTACATCCGCGCGTTGTGCAGCAATTCTGGAATCAAAGTCGGTTCGCATTGCATGTAACTGCTCCTGGAGTTTTGCTTCGTATTTGTGCTGAACCTCCTCACCATAATGAGTCATTTCAACTTGACGTTTACGACGCAACTCCTCGATTTGCTTAAAAATGTCAATTTCTATTTCTTTAACCAAAAAAATATTCTTACATTGTCATGACTCCGACGAGAAAATTCCAAGTCCTCTCGTGCGGTCTGCAAACGACTTTCCAATTCAGTTCGCAACAAGACTTCATCCTCAAGTTGGCGACGTAACAGTTCGACTTGTTTCTCAGCGCTGTAGAGATCAGTTTTTAGCTTCTAAAATTAAAAATAATGATGAAGACTATTTTGACTCACATCATTTTCCTCAGCAAGTTGTCCACGTGCTGAATCAACATTTGTTAAACGCGCATTCAAATTATGAATCTCATCATATGCAGAAAACTTGTCCTTTTCCGCCTTCTTCAAGTCTCGCTCCAGTTGGGGAACACGAGATTTGAGTTCTTCATAGCCACTGGTCGCCTTGTCATGCTCAATTTGTAACCTTAAAAAGAGTAATTAACTCAAGGGCCCCTACCATCCGTCAAGCTGCCCAGTATTAAAAATTAATTTAGGCGTGTTTACGTGTTAGCACAAGCGAGTTTTGTGGAGGAAAAATAAATTTGAAAATTAAACTTACTTAGCCTTGTCACGTGTCAGATATTCAAGCTGCTTGCGCAGCTCTTCAATTTTAACATCATAACGAGTAGCGAGGCTTTCCTTCTCCTTGCGCTCAACAATCTCTACTTCGTTGATCTGCACCTGCAGACGAGTGTTCTCAGTCTCCAACGTGCGGACACGCTAAAGAAAAAAGAATCTTTGAAAAATATTCGAGATTTAGAAGCAAACAAACCTCTATATAACCAGCTAAACGGTCATTAAGAGATTGCAACAAATCCTTTTCCATTTGACGAATAGAAACATGCGGGTTCGAAGAATTCGAAGACGTCGCATTAGTGGAACTAAAATCGAAAACATAAGAATGAAAAGTAAGCAGAATAAACCTGTGAGTATCAAATGTCTCATCTGCAGAAGCATCGACATGAATCGCTTGTTCTCGTTGAGCCTTTGAACGTTTTGCTTTCGAAGACATTGATATTTAAAGATCTTAAAAAAATAAAAAAAATAATTAAAAATTAGGGAGAGCTATTCAAATTTGTAAATAAAACAAAAAAATTTCTTCATTTTTGTGAATCACCATGGAAGGCTGTTTCCAGGTGAGCGGATGAAGAAAAAAGAAAAAATGGTATTGATTAAATAAAAAAGTTTGAGAGAAGTACGCTTTTTTAAGCACGGTTTTTAGTCACGCCTTTTTTTCCTTTTCCATCATTAGTCTTTTACTCTTTCTCATTCTCACCCATTAATCAATTCAGCCTAGGTTAATCTTTGTTTAGGTTGTAAAACCAGAATCGGTCCTGTGATATCTCTGACAAGGAATCATCTTTTACTGTCAGAGCAAATTTTATGTTTTTTGGTACCATTCGATAGAGGACCCCTGACTTGTAAAGTGATATCATTTTCTTTCAAATTGACTTTGGGCCGAGTTATGGCCGCACAAAGTTTCGGTTTTTTGGAGTTTTGAGTATATGAAGACGAAGGAACAAAAAGAGGGAAGAAAAATGTCAGACACGAAAAAAAAAGAAAACAGTAAAAGTGGGCAGGCGGGTTTTTTGAGGATGAAAAAGAAGAGAGAAGTTGCTCATTTACCTCTTAATCCCAGACTCTATCGTTAAACTTGAACGGCCATAACTCGGCCCAAAGTCATTTTGCAAGAAAACGGTATCACTTCGCAATAGGAAGTTGGGGGTCCCATCATGGCCGTAACCGGGGTATCTACAGCTTTCGCCTGCGGCTCCAAAAATTCGATTCCTAAAAAAAGGTTTCGATATACCTGGGTGGACTCTCTCTATCGAACGCTACTAAAAAATATGATATTCTGAGTAATTGAGTGAAATTGAGGAAGAAAGGCTGACCATTCTGTATACGGAAATGGGGGAATCTTTAAAATTTTTAATAACTTTAATATTGATGAAGGAAAAATAAAAAAGAGCTAAAAAAGCGTACTAAACCATACAAGTTCCCCAAAATTGTAAAAAAAAATCAATGGTAAGAAATGACTGCAAAAAAATGGAAAAGTCAAACGCGAATGCTTGAAAACAAGCCAAATAACAAAAAAACTCAAGTGGGTTATTTTAAACTTTGGCGTTTTGTATTATTTTATCTTGTGACGGGAACGTTTGAGTATCATATTAAATAGAATTTTAATTTAGAGGACTAATGTAAGGCTAATAGTAAATTTTAAATTTCAACAATTTTTCCAAGCAGTACAGCTATCTTAATGTTTATATTGTGAGTACAAAAAGCAGAATCTTACAGATGAGCCAAAAATAACTTTATCATTTTATGCTTCAAAAATTGGGATTAAATTTCATTTCCTCAAAATCTTTTAATTTTTTACTACTTTTAATGTTTCTTTTTTTAACCACAGCTAAATTGATAGTTTAATATTGAAATTTAAAATAGTGACAACGGGCAATCCCCTTTAGACAGAACCAGAAGGGTTTTTGACTCCTAATAAATTGCTTTAAAATCGATTACTTCACTTGGCTGTTAAAAAAAAGTTTTTTTTGTCTCTTTTATTTACGTAATTTGTTGATTGTTTGTATTTTTTGTTATTTTTTTTATTGATTATCAGCTAAAATTTAATTTGTGTTCGACAAAAAGTGTTTTTCGAGTGTCGGTATCGTTTGTTGAAAATTCTTATTTTGTCAGAAATACTGAGAAAAAATATTGAAAATTAACATTGTTTCTCTTTAAACTCGCTCAAAAATTAGGAAAAACTTTTAAAAATACCTCTATTAAAATCAAAGAATGTTGGTGTTAAAAATTAAAAAAAAAACTTAAAAAACCTCTCTTTAATTTTTTGATATTTTCGTATCAATCATTTGTTTGGGGGCATGGAAGGTTAAACATGTGAAAAGTGCGTAAAAAAATTAAAAAGATAAGAATTTTTCGTAGAAATTTAAGTATGTGAATGTGGCTTCCCCTAGAAATTAGTCAATAATAAATAAATAAAAATTTTTAGAGAAATAAATTCTTGTTTTGTTGCTGTAATTCTATATATTTAAATATTTTTACTAAAAAATTATTTTGTTTTATTTTCTCTTACATTTTCAGAGAAAATTAAAAAAAAACAAACAAAGAAGGCTTAAAATATTCATGAATAGAAATGCTTATTTCCTTTCCAACAATTTTTCATCAAAATTTATTGGCATCCTTTTACTTAATGCTTATTTTACACGATTCGAGAATGTGTGTATTTGGCCAGTATTTGGTTGAAATTGTAGGTTTTGAATAAAAAATGGAAGAAACAAAAATTCTTTGAAAATTTTTAGTATAATTATTTTTTAGTTGGAACACACTGTACTTGGTGGTCATCGAGCGGTTGTCCGTTGTGATGCAACTGGGGCGAATTTTGGCTCTGACATTGCTACTTTCTCGTTTGGAATGAATTCTGTTGGTTGTGCTTTACCAACAGAACCTCCTTTAGCTTGTTCTGATGTTGAAGTAACCCATCTCTATTTTTAAAATTATTTTCATTTAAAGAAGCCTCGTTTGAATTCAACAAGTCAATGTGTTGTGGATTTTGCCGTTGTGTCACGAGGGAACTGCAGTTTTTCTGAAAAGGTTGTTTAATATTTAAAAGCTTTTTTATTATTCCCCTGTTATGAATGTAGAGGGGTCACAATATTGTTTTTATCGTTAACCTATAGCTTTTTGGGTAATATTGAGGAACCGGACAGACCCCCTTTTTTCCTCTCCAATTTTTCCCTATATTTTTGCAAAATTCCTTTCTTACATTCAAATTGCCTTTTTAATTTTTGCCTACAATCAGCCAAAAAGGATTATTTAATTTTATACAAATGCAAGTATTACATGCCGAAAATAAGTAAAGGGAAAAAAATAGGGGGAAATTGGGTTCAATATTACCGCTTTTTGTTAAAAACGGGCAAAACGGCTCAATATCCGTGCTAGAAAGAACACATTCTTTATCGAATGAGCCCGGTCTCGACCGTTTTTAGCTCGGACACCTCGCAACCTCTCCGTGTTAATATTTCTCATTTAAAAATCAAATTCTTTTTAATTAGGCTTATTATGTTCAACAAGCAAAACCTGTCGGCTACCAAGCATTGATTGTATACAACTTTAAGGGTAAAAGTCCCAATCCAATGTCGGGTAGCAAATTTGCTGAACTTATCCAAATTCCTGTTGTTATGGTTAAATATGAATGTATGCAAAGTTTACTTGGCCATTACAGCGCAGAACACGGGTATTTTTAGGTATTTATTTTAAATATTTATTTTAAGGTATACCGTTACAATCAAAGCTAGTCCTGGCTACTATGATTTGATCAAATATCTCTTTCCATTTGTTATTATTGTCGGAATTTGTTTTATTGTTTTGTTAATTTCTTTGGTAAATTTCTATCAAACTTTCAATTTTTTTAGAAAATAATTTGAGTTTATTAAATTTTTAGTTAATTCGTCTCTGCCGTGAAAGAAGACGTTTGGCAAGAAAGCGACTTCCTCGTTCTCAACTACGCAAAATTCCAACAAGAAAATATCGGAAAGGAGATCCAGAAGAGACTTGTGCCATTTGTTTGGAAGATTTTAAAGAGCCAGATAAATTGAGAATTCTCCCCTGCAAGCACGGTTTTTAATTTTTTAAGTAAAAAAATTTATTTTTTAATTTAATAGCCTATCATTGTAAATGCATTGATCCTTGGCTAACCAAAAACAGGAGAGTATGTCCTGTTTGTAAAAGAAGAGTTGGTCCTCGCAATGTGGACAGTTCGGACAGCGATACTGATAGCGAGGTTTGTAAAACTAAAAGTTTAGTTGTTAGGGGAAATTTTGTTAGGTGGATTAGATAATCATAAACGTAACCAAGAGTAGGGTGATAGTGGACTTTATGCTAATTTTATTTACAATCTTAGTTTCATTTTTTCTACAGTTACAATCTTAGTTCATTTTTTTTCTTCATTTTTAACTGATAGTATTTCTAGGATTTTTTTAAATTTATTTTTTTATAAAATAATACTTTTTGAAAAATCATTTTTAAGAGAATCACCCGAACTGTCTCTTCATCAGTTGCGGAAGGTGCTGCTGGAAGCAGTTCATCCTCAACACTTGTAACAACAAGTCGAGACAACCGTCCTCTTTTACAGCATGCACAACCTGTATATTTTAACTAAAAATATTTTTTAATTTCTGTTATTTTTTAGATTGCTACAATAACTTCAAGTAGCAATCGACGGCCAATAGCTGAACAAATTGTTGTTGCTTCTTTATTTCAACAACAAAGGCAGCCACAACAACAAACACCTCAATCAACAAGCGCCTTTTCGCGAGCATCAAATTTATTACATTTAAGCAGTATTTTTCATCGTAAATTTTTTTAATTTTAGAGGTATTTAAATTAAATTTCTAGCATCTCGGTGTGAAGCTGTTGGAGCACAAATTTCATCTCCCTCCACCACAGAAACTGTGAGGAAATATTTAGTATATTAAAAATATCAATTTAAGGCCAAAAATCCAATTACTACTGGTGGACCAGGTCCTTAGCCAGGGGGTTAGGGGGAATTTTTTTTATCAAATTCTAAATTCTTTTAGAAAGTAATTTGAATTCATTGAATTTAGTTTTCATTAAATTAAATTTTTTTCCTTTTTCTTTTTAAAAATAATTTTATTTCGTAATTTTTAGTCATCAACAGTTATTGCAGAAAGTGTACCTTCTCAAACAACAACTTTGTCTTTAGATAATCAACAACAACCAATTACCACACCAATAACAACACATTTTGGTGATCGTTTACGTCGAGGGATTGCTGGAATTGGAAGTTCTATTGTTGATTTGGTTTGATTTTTTATATAAAATTGAGCAAAAAAAATATTTTTTTAAAGGTTCATCGTTGTCCAACAAGCATTTTAAGTGAATCTAATACGCAATTGATCCCGGAAAATGAGGATGAAGAAGATTCTTTGAATGCTAGAAGGGAGTCTGATGTAAATTTTAATTATTTTTTTAGGAAATATATAATTACTTTTAGACACTTTCTCGCCATACTCTTGAAACGCTGGATGAATCAAATAGTAATACATCTCCGGATGGTCATTCGGTAATTTGTTTTTAGTCTGATATATTTGACTGATTTTTCTTGTTTAGATGACAACAATTCATTCAAATCGGAATCTTGTCTCTGTTACAGTGGAACTGCCATCACCGCCTCCCGCAGGTTATAATTCAGTGGAAATCAGTGAAGAAAAAGCTGATGAATCAAAACAAAGATTTAATGAACAATAAATTTCCAATAAAAAATTATAATATGCTCTCATTTTTGTATTAAGCTTTTAATTTTTTTCTATTTTATTTTTAATATTCGAAAACTAAAAATTGTACAAATATTACAATAATAAAAATTTAAAAATCTTTACAATAATTACAATCTCAATAGAAATCTAAAAAATATTTACAGGGAAAGAATAGGGGGATAATAAATATATAAATACAGTCAATACTTTCTTTTAGAAGGAAGTTAGAAGGTTGACGGATTCGAAAAATTTTAGGTTAGATATCGAGTTATAATCCGCAAAGAATTAGCAAGATTTGCCAACCGTAGTTCAAAGTTTTCGACTTGTCTGTTTAATACAAGGATGGCCTTCTGGCAGAAAATTTTGACCGTACTTTTTTACAATAATTTTGTTGAGTATCAATTCTTTATTTTTGTGATATATTTTCATTTAAACGTGATTGTTAAACATTGGAAAGCACGACTTAAAATAAAATTTTCATTAATTTGACATAATTATTAAGGATTAAATTAATGTTAGAATATTATTCTATCCCCATTCCGTGTAGGTTAAAAGGGATTTAATATTTAATTAAAATACCTGTGTAAATAAGTGATTGTTTTCAGTAATGTTATCTTCCTCCGTAAAATTCCTTTAAAAAATAAAAATTTCTTAAAAATATTTAATTCTTCTACCAATGAGCAAATTCTTTAAAAATTGGCGGCGAAAGTTGTCCATTAAATAAACTTTTTCCATTACTACTTGAAGTATTTGTATTATTATTATTCTCGCTGTCACCATTTGGTAAAGAAATATCGTTAGTATTACTAACTTTAAACGAAGTTGTGTCCAATTCAAGGAGTGATTTTATTGGAGAAGAATTTTGATTAATATTTCTTTCAGCATGAACAAACTTAAAAAACATTTAAAAAAATATGTATTTAAAAATACCTGACAACGTTTACCATAGATACAAACACCTGTAGCACTAAAGTTCTTACAAAGTTGTGTCTTGTATTTTGGATGGAGCTGGAACAAAATTTAAAAATAAAAATAATTAATATTTATTATTATTATTTGAGTAACTAAATTTATTTAAAAATACATAAAATAGACAATGGAATTATTATCTCGTCATTCAATTAAGGTTAACAACTCCCCCACAGGTTCTTAAAGTGATTGTCCTTAGATTGAGAAGAAAAATTGGTAAATTTAAGCAACCCAAAACTTGCAAATAAAGACTGCTATCTATAATTAAAGTAGGTTTTGGAATGGTCCTCCAAGTGGACATGGCAAATGAATTTGGATTAATTTAATGATTATTATTAGACGGGAATGGAATTAGAAAAAAACTTACAGGTCTAACACGCAATTCAGACTCGTCATGCGCAAATCGACAATTATCCCCATAAGCACAAAATCCCGTTATGCGAAGTTTTCGACATATTTCGGTTCGAAAAGTAGTCTCATTTCGAATTACCCGATTCTCCAAAGAACGTTGAAAGTCAGAAAGACTGAGATTCTTAGAAAATTTTTTGAATTTTTATTAAATTTTGTCTAAAAGTTAATAAATAAACTCAAACCAAATTTGGTTTATTCTCATTAAAAAAGTTGCTCATTTTATAATTATTATTCTCCATTTCCAATTGTAGTGTGTATTTACAATAATATTTACAAATGAGAGGAAGACAGAAGGAAACTGTAAATAATTATTAAATAATTAATTGTTGGGTATTGGATAAACAAAGGGTAACAAGGTTTCGAGTAACCCCGAAGACCCTGATAAATGCAATTATTGTATAGGACATTTATCTAAGGGCACATCTAAGAAATCTCCAAAAGCTTAATAAATGCCTATATTATTTATTTCTATATAGAGATGCCTATAAATTATTAAAATAAAAATTCTGTCTAGTAAGTATTTTGCCTAAATTTACTTTTTTGATTTTATGGAGAAAAATATAAAATGATGAATATTATTGAATTTATTAGTAATTTATCTCCTTAAAAGAATAAAAGAAATTTTTTATGAAATGTAGACAAAAATAAAAAAAGGAAAACAAAAAATGAAAGGAAATGATTACTTGATTGACAGATATAAATGCCCTACAAAAATTAAATCAAAAAAACTTTCTATTCAACATTTGACCTCTTAAAATGTCTGTCCACTCCCACTCCCCTCTCTTTAATTAATAAGAATTTGTATTTACATATTTACGCAATAAATATTAAATAAAAATACAGTCGTGGAAAAAAGTATGGAAGCGCTAGAAAATTTCTTTTTATTTTTTAATTTTTTATTCAAAAAATATGTTCTATATACCAATCGAAAGCTCTATTCGTATCTCAGTTGACGTGTTTCTGCATTTTTTATGAAAATGAAAATTGGCCGAGATAATCCGGATCTACCGGATATACCAAATCCCATTTTTTCGGAAAAATTTTTCGGAAGAAATTTAACAAACCCAAATGATAAAGCATATTTTTCTGAGTATTTACCACAAAACCGCTTAGAAATATCTTTTTCCGGAGCAGAGATATGATTTTTTGAAAATGGCATTTTTCGCTTAAAAATTGAATTTTTTGCAAAAATAGACGAAAAATGCAATTTTTAAAAAATCATATCTCTGCTCCGGAAAAAGATATTTCTAAGCGGTTTTGTGGAAAATACTCAGAAAAATATGCTTTATCATTATGGTTTGTTAAATTTGTTCCGAAAAATTTTTCCGAAAAAATGTGATTTGGTATATCCGGTAGATCCGGATTATCTCGGCAAATTTTCATTTTCATAAAAAATGCAGAAACACGTCAACTGAGATACGAATAGAGCTTTCGATTGGTATATAGAACATATTTTTTGAATAAAAAATTAAAAAATAAAAAGCAATTTTAAAGCGCTTCCATACTTTTTTCCACGACTGTAAACTAAAATAATTTTTACATTTTTATGCAAAAAATAAATATATTTTTAATTAAAATAATTTAAAGAATAATAAAAACAATTTTCAACATTTTTGTAAAAAATTTAATAGCAAAACAAAAGAAAAATTAAAAGCAAAAGAATTTTAATAATTAAAAAAAGATAATACAACCAAAAAGTTTTTTAAACAAAAATATTTTTAATAAAAATAATTTTTTAAATTAAAGATCAAAATTACACTAAAATATCCAAAAATCTCTAAATAATACTAGACAATTTATTAGGGAAATTGAAGGGTACAGCCCAATGTACCGCGAGCCCAATGTACCCCCAAGCTATAATTTTGTTCAAAATTATCAAATTCAGGATACCCTGGTTGGTTGATGCACCTCAACGAGCTGAATCAAAAAATATCAGGGCGTCCCTGATTCGGTAATTTTGAACAAAGTAATAGCTCGGCGGTTGGCCTGCTCCCGAAATCGAAATAATTGTAGGGAGGGAAGGAAGGGATAAATAATATCAAAAAATATATTTAAATGTATAAAGCCTCAATTCTATCATTTTCAAAGCTCGTCTTTACAAGCAATAGGTGCTGCTATAGAATCAATCGGGGAATGTCTTTTAGTAGAATTAATTGAAGATATAATTTTAATATTTGGCGGACGCATTAATTCGCTATCTTAAAAATAAATTGTTTGTTGGGTTTAACAGTAAATTATTTATTTAAAAACCTCTTAAAGAATCTCCAGAAGGGGATATAGAGGAAGAAGTTAATTCAGAAATTGGAGATGAACTTAAAATTGAATTATTGCTAGTAGGGGCTAATTTAGATAATGAACGGTCAGGATAAAATGTTGATGGAGGTGGAAGGGGAGGTGGAGAAGATGAAAAGGAATCTGTTGTTGCCGTTGCTAATTAAAAAATATATTTATTTTAAATTAAAAGCTAATTTATATTATATGATCGTTTATTAAGTGATCTAATCAGGTTAAATATAACTGGCGCCAAATCGGCAGCGCATAGTTACATATCTACAACAGTCTCCCATGGAGTTTTTTATGCAAAATTCGGAGAACCTCCTTTTTTATATTAATTAATTAAAAAAAATATTTTTGGATTATTTTAAACTCTAAATTCGATTTAAAAGGTGCTCCTTGCTACTTCTACTTCTACTAATGCTACTTCTATACGTTTAATTTAATTAACAATTTCATAAAATTAATTTACCAAAATTCTGATGAGAATTTCCATTTTTTAATTGTTGTTGTGGACGTAAAGGAGTCATTCTAAGCGGTGAAGGGGGTGTATTAGCCCCTCCTTCTCTTCCATTAGAAAATATTTGTTTTTTTCTTGGTGAGGATTCTAATGGGCGAATTGAAATTAATGGTGAGGAAGTTTCCTCCTTTTTTTTGAAAAATTAATTTTTAATTATTTTTAAATAATTTTAAAATACATTTTTAATTCCATTAGTTTGGTTTTCGTTTAAATTTTGATGATTCTGAATTGTTGAATTAATTGAGGTATTTTTGGGTGGACGGGGAGGAGGAGCTTCTTCTAAATTAATTTTTTTAAAATTATTTTTATTTATTTACCTTTTTTATTAATTAAATTATCATTTAAATCTTTTTCTGATTTTTCATTTAAATTTAAAGGTTGCTTTTCTAAAATTAATGTTGACGTTAATTTTCCATTTTGATTATTAAATTGTTGTTGTTGGCTATTTTGGGACTTGAAAACAATTAAAATTAAAATATAACAAATAATCCCTTACCAAATTTTGTTTAAATAAATGAAATAAATAAATAGATAGAGCTATTAACATTAAAATAATTAACAGAATCGTTATAATTAAAGAAATCCGAGAAAGTGAAGAACCTGAAAATTAAATTTAAATAAATAAAGTGAGAGGGGAATATAGTAAAGCAGCTGGGATTTGTCTCCTTTAGCTAGTGCAAAAGGTTATTCGGCGGCTGGGAACGAACCAGCATCTTTAGTTGACCGGACTAATGTGCTAACCATTACACCACGCCCCTAATGAACAGCCTTAGGAAATAAATAGTATATGCTTTACAATCGCAGGAAAAATAAAGGAAAAAAATTAAAATAAGCTTGGAAAAAATTATTTTAAAAATAATTCTTAAAATAAATTTTCTTAAAAGCTTATTTTTGGAACTAAAAAAAAAATAAAAGCAAAACAAAAGAAAAACTACAAACTTTTATTATAAACAAAAGAAAAGCCATCAATACTATTATTAATAATTTCAACCCCACCATTATTTAAATTGTCAAAAGGTTGTTTTGAAAGTTTTCCCCAACTCGAAGTATTCCCTAACCAAATATTTGGATCTCGAATGCCGCAAAAATTGTTTAAATTAAATTTTATTTTGTTGCCATAATTTATCTTTAAAAATTAAATTATTTTTAGGAAATTAAAAAATATTTGTGTTTAACCTCATAATTATCATTTAAAGATGAATATAAATCTTCATTGGAAGTTTGTGTTGAATAAATAAATATTAAATCTAAAGAAGGGAATAAATAAAGTTTGGGTACACCTCAACTGAGTCCCGGAACCTATAACTTATGAAGGTATGGTTATTTTCCTTTGTTCTTGGTACCATTGGATAGGGCATTAAATAGACGACAATATACAAAAAATCAGAATTCTTGACCGATTGGTAGAAAAGTTATGATTTTGAAGCAAAAACCCCCAAAAATTTCAGAATTACCATTCTTTATTAAATTCCCCTACTCTAAAATAAAAAAATATTTAAAAATCTACCTTCAATACACCCATTACTATCATCAATTAAATCCCCATTCCCTTCTTTACTTTGGAAAACTTCAATTTCAAATGTTTCAATTGAATTAGGGGATAAAACAAAAATAGGTATTTCTTCTAATTGTAAATATTTAATTTGATTATCAAAACGAATTGACTAAATATGTAAATTATTTTAATTTCTCTAAATTACCAACCAATAAATTTCCATCATTATTTGCCCCAAAATTATTTAATTTTCTTTCAATTGAAAATAAATGTAAACGAGAATCTATTGTTTTTTCAATTAAAAATTCTACAAAATTTAAATTTAAAATAATATTTTTGTATTTTTAACCTTCAAATATTCCATATTCTTTTGATTCTAATAAAACTTTGTGTTCATAATTATCAATATTTAAATATAAACTTTAAAAATAAAAAATAAACTTTTGAATCCCCCTCCCTCCCTCCCCTTTACCTTCCAATTTTTAAAAATAATTCTTCTTTATTTAATTTATTTTCTGGTAATTTAAATAAAATCCAAATTTTATTTAATTTTGCCATTCGAGGACGTCCATTATTGGCTATTAAAGAAGGTGTTTGTATTGGAATTTTAATTGAATTAGAAGTTTGTGAAGAAGGAACTTTTAAAAAAATATTTTTAAATAATTTAAAATTCTTTCTTTTACTTTCAATTTTTAATTGTTCTGTTGTTTTATTTATCAAACAACTTCCACCAATTTCTTTGTCCGAAGGAGAAAAGATTTTAGAGCATTGACAAATAGGTAAATCAGAATGACGAGAACAAGGTGCTCTGAAAATTAATTTTTTTTAAAAATTAATCTCTAATTTAAAAGTAAGGAAAAGGAAGAAATTAATAATTGTTAATTAATTAGGTATTCAAAGTAAAAGGTAACTAAGTAAATAGTCGACATTATATAATCCAGTTTCTCAATTACTTCCTAATTAGCTGATCTCGGTCGGTAATTGTTCGGCTAGCAACACTGATACATACCGAACATATTTTCCTGAATTTCTGTGGCGAAAAGATTTGGTAAAGAGGGTGGAGGGGGGGGGGGGGTACGAACAGGACAATTACCCCTAGGGTTTAAGGCCTTTGGAACAAACAATAATTCAAAAACAAAAAATATTTTAAATAATTATTTACCCTCCACATTCATTTGGACAATTTCCACATTTACCCAATTTAACAGAAAAAATATTATTTAAATTCTCTTTATCAATAGCTGCTCTTTCTTTTTGTTCATTAATTAATTGAGGAATATTTAATTTATTTCCATTAATTAAAATTTCAGCAATACAGCCCTCCAAAGAAGGAGCTTTTTCTTTTGTATTGTCTTGAAAATCTTTTTTAAATCGTTCTGATACAATTTTATTTAATAAAATATTTTTTGCATAAAAAGTGCCGCCAACAAAGAGAAACTATAAAAAAAATTAATTTTTTTTTTTAAATTTTATTTTAATTTCCAAACATTTTTTGCATTAATTCTATATAATTCCGAAGAATCTACAACTGCTGAATTTGGAGATAATAAACAAACTAAATCATCGACAGACATAAAATTATTGCCTAATTGATGAAAAAGTGAAATTCTTGTCCAGTGATCGTGAGAACCAAATGCTTTAAGGTGGAAAAAATTACTAATTTAATTTTGAATATAAATAGGACAGATTTCAAAAATTTCCCAAAATTTTCGCTAGAAAAGAGCTATCAAGTCTGATCCGGATTTGGTAAATTCAGCTTAATCCATTTCTCATTAACTTTAATTTTTCAAGCAAAAAACTGAAACTAGACAAATGAGGTGTGGATTAGGTTTCCAAATGACACAGAGGCCAATTTAATGTTTAAAAAAGCATTATCAATCCGGATAAGAATATTTTTTTTAAATCTCTACTAAATACCTTTATTTAATTTAACAAAACAAGAATAACATTTTTCACTTCCATCAGCCAAAAGTAAACATTGTGAAGCAAAAACTTTATTATCCACAAAATGTACTTGAATTCTTCCAAGACTTCCCCCACCATTTAATAAAACTTTTTGTTGCCCATTTGTTGGTGAAATTGGTGGAGAAAATACTCCAAATAAAATTAAACCCGATTCCTTTTTAAAAATATTTTTTTGAAGTTTTCTTTTAATAAAAACCTTTTCGCTTTTAAAAAGGACAGAAATTGTTGTTTTTAAACCAAAATTGTTATTTTGCATTGGAATAAGTAAAAAAGCAAGGCGATCAGAATAACGAGATAAATGGACGGAAGCTGAAATTTTAAAGGGAATAGCTAATTATTAAGGGAAGTCTGTAGAGCGTGGCGTGTATAATTCAATCAGATGTCCAAAACATTTAAAGGGATTGGGGACTGAAATTTTGTAGGAAAAGGGGAGGGATTACAAAATTATAAAAAAATTACAATTTTCATCATTTGGCAGCAAAGAACATTTGGCAATTTGAGAATTACTAAGAGAAAACCCCCCATTCTGAATTAAAGCAGAATTAGGTCCTTTGCAATTACAAAAGTTTTGTTCTAGGTTAGAAGGTGCACAAGCTGCTGGTTGAGAGAATATATGTTGTTGGGGAAGGGATTGACGAACTTCGAGTAAATCGTTATTTGTCTAAATTTAAAAATTAAATTTTAAAAAATTGGAATTTTAATACGTAGGAATTAAGTGAAATTTTTATGAGAAATGGTTATGGAAAAAATAATGAAATTAGTAGAGATGGAATAAAAAATATTATATTTATTTTTAAAATATTCACCAAATCATTACAAATCCATTGCTCTTCTCCTCCATCATCTCCATTATTATCCAAAATTCGAAGGGCGGCAACTTCCCCATGAACAAGAATATCTATCCATTTAGGCTCCCCAAAATCTGAGGTTTCACGTAATGAAAGAGAAGTCCACAAATTGTCGATACGAACAGATAATGAATGCTTTGAATATTTTTAAAAGATTTTAGAAAAGAGAATTACCAAATGCAAATGTATTGTGTGCCAAAGCCCATCAGCAAGTAATTTTGATGGATGGATAATATGATTTGAGAAAAGAAGATAACCTTGAAAAAAAAATTGAAAGTAATATTAATTAATTAGGAAGGATTAAGTGGGCGGGACTTGTGGGGGTAAACTACACAAGTATAATAATTATCTAAATTATTTAACAAACCATCAACAAGATCAAGCGCCCCTAAAGGTCCATTACCACCATCAAGTAATTCAAGTAAACGCCCATTTGGTTTACTTGTTCTAAAAGAAATACTTAAAGTACTAGCTGTTGATTTTTTCCTCAAATCAAATAATTTTAATCTAATTCTGTCTTTATCTGAACGAAGTTCAAATTGACATTCTGGACGAGGAATTAACTTTAAAAGGAATATAAAAATAAATTAAGTCTTAATTTAAATTTAAGAACCATTTGTCGACAAATTAAAGGTCCAAGATTGATAGATGTTTTTGAAGGAAATGGAGAATTAATTTTAATAACAGGTCCAGAACGAATAGAAAAAGTATTCACTTCTTTAATTAAAAAAATAAATTTAACAATTATAAAATTTTGTATAAAAACTAAAAAAATTTTTCATGAAAAAATTTTTAGTTTATAAAATAATTAATTTAATAATAATTCTATTTTTCTGGAAAACAAAAAAATAAATTCTCTCAGAATTTAAATTTTCGAAGTTTATTGGTAAAAATTAATTAAATTTTAGATGAAAAATCAAATGTATTGACAAGAGTGGAGTAACTTACTCTGTGCTCTCTAACTTTTGAACTTAAAAGGGATTTTAATCAAAATTATAAAATTAGAATTTTATGTGAATTAACAGTTTTTGGTTTGTGTTTTTACAAAGATTAATTAATTTTAATTTAAAAATACCATTAATATTTGTGGCATTATTTCGATTAAATTTAAGCTTTTCTTTGCTAAATGTTTCAAAAACAATACTTAAATTAAACAAAAATATTTTTTAAATTTATTTTTAAGTACCTTTCTGTTTCATTTAATAAATTATTTTCTTCTTCTCCTTCTAACCATTTAATATTAATTAATTGTAAACATTCATCAGAATTAACAATTAATTTTGAAAGAAAATTAAAATTTGTGATTCTAAATAAAATAGGTATATGTAAATAATTATTTTAAAAAATAAATCCAAACTGTTGTTGAACATAAATTGGTTGGTTATTAGTTTCTTTTTTAATTTCATCTAAATTTATCCAGCGACCAGTCAATGCATTGTTAATTACTGTTTGATAAGATAAACGTCCGGATTGGGGACCTGGAGGAGGAAAACGGCATTCTAACCAATAAATTAGGTTTGAAAGACTGAAAATGTGTGGAGGAATGAATTAAATAATATAGTAAATATTATAGTGCCGGCTTTACATACTTTAACCAAATAGATGGTAAATATACTTCAGTTCAGACTTGGTAATAGACATGGATTTTGGTATTCGTATTCGGATATGTCCGCAAGCATTTTGAAATTATCTGTATCCATTCCATTACCAAGTCTGCCTCAGTTTAATATACCCTTTGATTTTGCCTACAGTTTATTAGCCATAAAAGGGTGTATGTGTGAAATGTATTTAAAATTTCATTAAAATTTTAAATTTAAGAATAGTTTAGTCTACATATTTTTTATAAAATCTTCAAAAAGACCTCAATAATGGAAATATTTTATTTTCAGAATTTCCGTTGAGCAAATGTTCACGGCATGAAGGCCTAGGCTGTGTTGTTGTTAAAAGATTATTAGAAGAAGGGGATAATGAAAAAGAGGAAACACAACAAAAAATAGATAAAAATGTTAATAAATTGTAAAATTTAAATAAAATTAAAAAATTAAAATTTTTGATGGCAAAATAATTATTTGAGGTAATTTTTGGAGAATTAAAATTAGAAAATTGTTTTTTGTTGGAAGCAAATACTTTTGTTGTTTTTATAAAAGAATCTGATTTGGATGAAGAAGAGGAGGAACAACAAAAAAATGAATCTGACAGCAATGGCTGCCACCTCATTATTTTAATTTTAAATTTTATCTGGAATAAAATAAAAATAAATTTTTTTGTTTAAAATTATTATTGCAATCTTAAAAAATTAATTAAAGATTGTCCTTAGAAAAAGAACAAAGAAAAATTTATTTAAAGATAATAATATTTAAAAAATGATAAATTATTATTTTCAATTTGAGTAAGTAAGCAAAAATATTATCAGCAAAAAAAAAAAGAAAAAGTTTTTTAAAGACCTTTTTAAAATTATTATTTTTTTATAATAAAATTTTTTTAAAATAAAAAAAACGTTAAAGCTCTAACAATTTTTTGTATATTATTTTTTATTTTTTTTTATTTACTCAGAATTATTTGTTGACGGCACCAGTCGATGAAGAATATGTAGGGGGATTGAGGGAGGTTGAGGGAGAACAACGGCTGAAAATATAAGGAAATAGGGACAAAAAAGGGAAAAAAAGTAAAAAAAACTAAAGTAAAAAAGCTGTTAACGGAAAAAAAGAAAAAGTATTATTTAACAAAGTGGTTTATGTATTTTTTATTGCAAGTTTTAATTAAAAATGTGAATGGATTTTTAATTAAATTTTATCGAAAAAAGGAAAAACTGACAAAAAAATATTTTGTGGATTAAAATATAAATAATTTTTATAAATTGATGAATATTCAAAAAATTTAAAAATTGGAAAAAAAATTAAAAATTTAACGTTTTCAAATAAGAGTTCATCAAAAACTTAATTAATTATTTATTTAAACACAAAAAGATTTTTAAAAGTAAAAAAATCAAGAGAATGTAAAAACCAAAAATGAGACGAAAAAAAAATTTCCAAGCCTAAACTTTTGTTTGTTAATTATTTTAAATAGGCTTTTTTATCAGAAAAAAGAAACACCGCCCTTTTTAAAAAGTTTTTAGAATGGCATTTAAAAACTAATTTTTAGTATAGTTTTTAAGCATATTTTGAAAAAATAAATTATTATTTCTTGAAAAAAAAACATTTAAAATAAAAAGAAATGAGTCACAAAATGTTAAAAAAAATAAAAATTTCACAAGAAGTAAACGAAAAAAAAAAAGTTTTAATTTTTTGATTTTAATAAAAATTTGTGTGAGCTTAGAAAAAAATTAACGTTAATAAATGCTTAAAATAAAAATAATAAAAAATTATAAATGGAAGTCTAAACAAAATTAAATATCAGATTCGTGATTAACATATTTAGTCACCTTTAGCAAGTTTTGAGGTGTCTCCTCAATTCCTCAATATTTTTTAAAAAGATTTATTTTAAATACAGGAATTTTTAAAAAAAAATTATAAAATATAGTTGAATTAATTTTAAAAGCCTCACAATTTTATTCTATCCCTATCTATTTATTTTTTAAGGATATTAAAACTTTAAAAAAAGTAAAAAAAGAAACGATGCGCAATAGAAAAAAAAGTAAAAGAAAATTTTAAATAAAAAATTTGGGTCGAAGGATTGAAGAGAAAAATGGAAAAAATGTAAAAGAAAAATTATTTTTTTAGAAAAGTGTGGAGAGAATATTGAGGTTAGAATAATAATAATTAGCTTTAGATAATTTTAAAATAGAGGACTTTTACTTAAATGGGGAAAATAACTAATAAAAATAAATATTTATATGTAGAATAATTATTTTTTTGAGTAAAAAATTTAAAAATTATTTTTTTAAAGATTTTATTTTATTTACAAGCCGTTAAGTTTTTAATTAATTAAAACTTTTTGTTTTGACCTTGCTTGGAAGCTTTTGAATAAAACTTTACTAATGGAAAAAATTAAGAATTTTTTTAATTTAAAATGTCAGCATGAATATTGTTTTATAGTTGTATTAAATTAATAAAAAATATTTAATCAAAAAATATAAGCATTTTCTCAATATTTTTTAAAAATTTATTGAATAAATAACAATTGTGGATTGCGTGGTTTTTGAAACCAATTTTTTGAAATTTAATAAAAAAAAATCCTGAGTAAATTCACAACTAAAATAATAGTGAAAAAAAGTGTTTATAAATAAAATTTGAATATTTTTTAAAAATTATTAAATTAAAATTTGTTGGAAAATAAATTTCATGATAATTTCCGAAACTTATATATAAATAATAACACAAATACAAATATAAATATAATTCTATAATCTCCCATAAACATAATAAAATTAAAATATGTATGTATACGAGTATATTGGAGAGGAAATTAAAAAAGGATTAATATAAATATTATTTAAAGTTTACAGTGAATTTGTAGAAAATTAAAAAAATTAAATATAACAAATTAGTAAATTATACAAAAAATCACTCGATTTTAAAGACAAAATCTTAACAATCACAAAATTACAATTTAACTATATTAAAGGTTTGTTGTTTTTTAAAAAACTAGGTATATATTTATATTTATTTAATGTCCACAAAAAATTTTCTTGACATAAAAAATAGTAAAATGATTGATTGGCTTAAAAACACTCAACAAATGCAATTGAAAAATAATACCACAAAAAGTTGTTAATAGCTAAGGAGGAAATAAATAAAAATAAAAAGAATAAAAGAATTAGTAGTAATTATTACTTTTTTTCGAATAAATACTCTTCAATTAGCCTCAAAAAAATTTAAGAAAAAAATAGTTTTTTTAATAAAAAAAATTTATTTTTTAAATTTAAAAAATAAAAAATTCTAAAAATGTTTTTAAATTATTCCAAACAATATTTTTATTTATTTCGAAGCTTTTTAAAAATAATTTTTAAAAAAGCCTTAAATACATTTATTTTTTCATAATTTTATTCACTTAAAAATTTTTTCTTAAATTTTTAAAAATGTTTTCTTCCCAATTTATTCGTTATTTTATTTTATTTAGCTTATTTTCTATAATATTTTGTAAAATAATTAATTATAAATATATCGGAATTCCAAAATTATCTGAGGCGGAAAAGGAATATTTATGGACAAAAAATTATGGACAAAAAATTCTTTTTGGCAGTACTTTTTTATTAAAAATATTTTAAAAACATATTTTTTCAAAGGCTTGCCAACAGCTTCGAAATTTAAAATTTTTGATAATAATTATTATTTAAATCCCTATGAAAATGAATATGGTTATTATGGAGGGTTAGGTGGAAGTAAAAGAATTGGAGGAGCTGCTATTGTGGCTAGAAAACCTGTAATCTATTTTAAGTTAAATCTAGCTCGGGACTGAATTTTGTAGACGCAATAAGTAGAAAGAGTGAGAGAGAGAGACTAGTTATCGAGATTTGACTTTATTAAATAAATAGGGAAAAATAGAAATAATTTTAAAAATTAAAAAGTGAAAATGAAGAAGATAGAAAAATTATTAAATTACCGTATTTCCTGAAATAGTACTCCCCCCTGAATTAGCACTCCCCCCTTAAATAATACTCCCCTTTGGAGGAGGGTTGAAAAATAGTACTCCCCCCTGAATTAGTACTCCCCCTAAAATAGTACTCCCCCCTAAAATATTTTTCCCCTATATTTGAAAAAATTATAAAAGACTCATTATTTTCATTTACTCTAATTATGGTTGTCGGTTTCAATTAATTCTTTGTTAACCGAAACCGAACCGATAAACCGAAAACCCGAACCGAAACTTCCTGTTAACCGAAATCGAACCGTAAATTTGTTGAGGATTAAGGAGATAGGTATATTGTGATTAAGTGGCTGAATAAAAGTGGATTTGAGGGATATAAGTGTATTGATATCGGGTGATGAAAGGGGTTCTGAATTGATCAGGCGAGTTAAAAGATATCATTGGATTAAAGGCGGATAAAGGAATTTGAGGGAATAATGACGGATGAGTCATATTAGTAGTTTTTTGTTGATTAAGCTTGATTAAGAGATAAAATTGAATCATGAATCCTCCTCAACCCAACGATTTTATTTCGATACCTCTAATTCAAGAATTTTCAGATATCCAAATCACTGATCTCCAACTTACATAATTTGATCCCTTCACTGATAATGAGTAAAAGTATTGTTTTTGTTAAAATTATTTTAGAATACAGTTTTATAAAAATTACTCGTTTTACCCGTTTTACTCGTACTCGTACTCGGCCTAAAAATTGAAACTCGTACTCGTACCCGGACTTTTCATACTCGGCTTTACTCGTACTCGGGTTTTTACAAATTACTCGGACTCGGACGCACTCTAGTTTATTTTATAAGAAATAAAGGAAAAATAAATGCAGGGTGGAAATTTGATGTTTTTTGGCAAATTTTTAAAATTTGAGTGAGAATTTAGTTTGCAAAATGTTAATTGAATTATGTCCAGATCACCCCCAATCGGGCTCCCAATATTGAGTTATGGAAATAAATTTTTGGGGGAAATTTTTAATATGGTCTACGAAAACTTTTTTAAAACACCTGAAAATTAAAAAGAGAATTTTATTTAATAAAAATTTAATAAACATTTAATAAAGAATTGAATGAGCTATACATAGAATAAGCATAAAATACTAAAAATAATGTGAAGAGAAAAAAGCTATATTTAAATGAATTGAGAGTGTCTGGAAAACTTTGAGTCACCATGATGTAATTATAAAAAATGGAGAAATAAACTTTGCAAAATAATTTGGAAATATAAAATACTTAAAGAAATATTTTAAATGGAAAAAAAAGAAGAAAAAAAGTATTTAAAAAAATATTAAAATAAATTTTTTTAAACTATTTTAAATAATCAAAAATTAAAATAAAATTCCAGAAATTTTCTTTGTCATAAATTTTATAAAAACGTGACAAATTCAGAACAAAATGAGAAAAAAATCTTATGTTTTGAATATTTAATAAAATAAAATCACATTTTTATTTAAAAGAAAATTTGCACATGTTGATGAGATAAGAATTAGTAAAGTTAGATAGGTAATTATAATTCTGTTTGTGAGTGCATTTCGCGAGCAAAAAATATTGAGATTAGAAAGAGACAAATAAAATCAAAATATAAAATGCAATGTCATTCATTTAAAAGGAAAACTAAATTTTAGTAAGTACAGTCACGGACAGACCTGGGCGAAACTCAAAATTTTTTTCTGACGAAACGAAACGAAACAAAATTTTTTAAAAATCGTTTCGTTAACGAAACGAAACGAAACAACCAAAATCTTACGAAACGAAACGAAACAAAACGAAACATTTTAATATTCAAAAAATTTTCAAAACTGCATTTATTTCGAAATTATTCGACCTCAAATACGTTATTAGTCGACTATGACTTATAAATGATTTAGTTATTGGTTTATTTACAACAATTGTGTCCCATAAGCCAGGCCCGTAGCAAGGAAAATTTTCGGGGAAGGGGGGGGGGGGGTCAATCATTTTCGAAGCCAAATTTTTGGCGACGCTTTTTTTTAAATAAAATTGAATATTTTTCAAGTAAAATTTTATTTTAAGCGCCGCAGACGAAAAATTTTAAAATTTTGAAAGGCCGTAGGCCAAAAAATTCACCATCTTGCTCCATTGCCTACCCAAATTGTCTCCATATCTCCATTTCGAGAGGAAGGCGATATAAGCTAGTGCTTCGCCGGAAGTTCCGGTTCCAGTATTTCCGCAACTCGCAATCCGCAATTTTTAAATTATGATGCGAGTCCGGTAATAGAATTTGTCGTCGATTAAGTAATATGTATATGTGGATTAGGGAGTGGAGTATAAACGGATTTGTAGTATATAAGTAATTGCTATCTTCCTTTTTCAGCGCCGCAGGCGAAAATTTTGACAATTTGGGAAAGCCAAGAAGCCGAAATTCTTTTTTTTTCAGCGCCGCAGGCGAAAATTTTTTAAATTTTCAATAAAAGATGGTAAATTTTATAGATTTTGGCCTTAGTTTAGGCTTAAAAAATTGTTTCGTTTCGTTGAAAAATCACAGGTGTTTCGTAACGAAACGAAACGAAACAAATTTAAAAGTGTTTCGTAACGAAACGAGACTAAACAGTAAAAATCATACGAAACATACGAAACAACGAAACGAAACGAAACGTTTCGCCCACGTCTGGTCACGGACAAAAGTTTGGACGCAAACGATTTTCAAACTTTATTTTCGAATATTTTTATTAAAATCAATAATTTAAAAAACAAATTTTTTGTAAAATAATGCTCCTTTTATGAACTTTAATATACATGAACAAAATTCTGGTAAACTTTATAAAAAAATTTTTTTTTGATATTTAACCAAAAAAGGGGGTGGACAAAAGTTTGGACGCAAATTTTTAGAAAAAAATATCTTACAGTATAATGTTTCAAAAATTCTGAAAAAATTTCTGTGGACATTTCCAATGATATAGAATAGAAAAACAAAAAAAAACGAAGTCCTTAACTTCTTCCATCATCGAGATCCCGAACCTCAAAAATCAACGGAAAAAGGGGGTACAGTACTTTAAAAAATATTTTTACCCACTAGAGCTTTTATAAAAATTTTTCTTTTGGGCCCATTAAAAAGCCCATAAAATTTCCTACAAAATAGTTCAGGTCTAAGTTGTTCCAAAAAATAGTTGTTCGAACTGCAGACACTTTCATATAAAAATGGTCAAAAAACCCCTAAAATACCCCAATAATGATAACTCTGAAAATTGCCTCGACTCTGTCTCCATGAGTTTTTGTTGAAAAAATAAGAACTTGTTCTATTTTGTAGCAAATTTTATGGGCTTTTTAATGGGCCCAAAAGAAAAATTTTTATAAAAGCTCTAGGGGGTAAAAATATTTTTTAAAGTACTGTACCCCCTTTTTCCGTTGATTTTTGAGGTTCGGGATCTCGATGATGGAAGAAGTTACGGACTTCGTTCTTTTTGTTTTTCTACTCAATCACAATGGAAATGTCCACAGAAATTTTTTCAGAATTTTTGAAACATTATACTGTAAGATATTTTTTTCTAAAAATTTGCGTCCAAACTTTTGTCCACCCCCTTTTTTGGTTAAATATCAAAAAAAAATTTTTTTATAAAGTTTACCAGAATTTTGTTCATGTATATTAAAGTTCATAAAAGGAGCATTATTTTACAAAAAATTTGTTTTTTAAATTATTGATTTTAATAAAAATATTCGAAAATAAAGTTTGAAAATCGTTTGCGTCCAAACTTTTGTCCGTGACTGTATTATTTCCTCACTTAAACTGATCAAATTTAAATAAAATATCTACTTAACTAAACTTGCACGAAAATTTCAAAGAGAGATTTTCAATTTCTGTTCCAGTAAATGTTGAATAAGTTGTTGAAATATTGTCGTTGTCTTCTATATAATTTCAAACTAATTTTGGAAAATTCAAAAAATCTAAAAAAAGTGAAAAATAATTTTGAAAGTTTTTAGTTACCCCCCCCCCCCTAAGAAATTCATTTTTCGAAATATCCTCCCAAAAAATATCTAATTCCAAATTATTTAAAATTAAAAAGAAATTAATAAGAAATTTTAATTTATTTATTTACTAAATCACAAAGTACAGTAAAATACTTTGAAAAATGACAGAAATTTAAAGATATCAATAGAAGTTTAAGTGATAATTTAGTAAAAGATTTTTAAATAAATAAAAATACAAAATAATATTTAAGTGATTTTTAGATTAAATTTAAGTTTAAAACAATTTAATATTCAAAATAGAATTTATGGAAAAAAGTAATTTTAGGCGTTTTTATTTGTTAAAAATTAGAAGTTTTAACTGTTTGGATTCCCTGAAGACGGTGAATGAATGACAAGGAAATAACTTGCCTTTTTTAGAAAAGGCAAGTTATTTCCTTATTGATATTGGTACCAATCTCATTAGCTCGATAAGAGGAATCGTTTAATACTTGGAAAGATTCGAATAACTTAAAGCAAGTTTTCGCCGTTATGGCCGCGCGTCTACTTGGGCTGTACCCTTTTAGATAACTTGATGAATTGGTTAATTGAGTGCCATGCTCATTAACGACCTTCCTGAGTTTTTAATGAATATTAAAAGCTGTTGAGATTTATGTATAATTTTGTCAGAAATACCTACCTAAACGCCTTAAATTTGTTAAAATACAAAAAGGAATGAAATTTTAAGAAAATGAGAATCATTGTATATTTATCAATAGTAATTACTTAATATCTCCGTTTTCAACTTGCTCTCATTCCTCTCCTTTTTAAGTTAAAGTTTCATTCAAACTCCATTTGTAGAAGAATCTCTTTCTACGCTAAAAACAACACAAAAAATAATTTTTAAAACAAAATTTCCCAAACTATTTTTCGGCAATACTTTCATTTATTTGCAAAACACTAACTACAAGAAAACCAAAAACAATTGCACAAAGCTGTACAAGATTAGAAAATTCATTGGCCCGTTCTTGAGAAAGTACTTCGAAGAATGTTACCTAAAATTTAATAATTAAACAAAGGAAATATTTTCTAAAAGAAATACATAAATAAAAGTTCCACCAGCAAATGATTCTAATACAATTACAATGCCATCTATAATAGATAAAATGACTAAACTTATTCATAATTGCTAGTAAGGTTTGCGGATAGTTGGAAATCTTCGGATATCCGGATCCAATCCGAAAATTTCCGGATTTTGGCTTTTTTTCGGATTCGGACATCCGGATCCGCCAACCTTAAATGCTAGAGCCTAGGTAAATTAAGTATTTCTTATTTAAAAAAGGTTAAATCAAAATTTACTTCCTACATCCAAAATTTTTTATTAACAAAAACTAATTCACCTTTAAGCACCTCGTTTATGTTCAGATTCTAAAAAATATTAAAAATAAGAAACTTATATTCTTCATGGGTTTTCCTATAAATTTTATTAAAGACCTACCGTAAGTAAAACACCAACCATAGATCCAAAAGGTGTCATCAAAGCATAAATTCCAATAGTCAACACAACAATTATCTAACGGCAATTTTTGGGGTTTGAAAAAAAAAGTTTAAATATTTATTGAAACCATTCTTTTGGCGTTTGATCTGGTTATCTGCAGACCAACACTGAATGCTTCTATTCCTTTGTGGATAATTAAAGAAATGAAGAGGGTCATTATGCCTTTTTGATTGTTCTGAAATTTTCCTCATAATAATATTAAATCCCTAAAAAAACCAGACTTGAACTCCAAGTGCAAATCCCTCCAAAATAGAATGAAAGGACATTGCCACGGCAAATGTTATAGACTTTAATAAACTATCATCAACTTGTTCATTATTTAAATATTCTTGTGTTAATATACTTATTGAACGTTGTTTAAATTGTTTTGCAGAATTAATTGAATCAGACTCTTCACCGTCTGATCTCCTTTTAATTTAAAATTGGATAAAATTTTGTAGAATTAATTTAAATGGGGAAATATATTGTAAAGCATATAAGTAGCTATTTAATTCCTAAGGCGGTTCGATTGTACGACACTTGCGGACAGACTTTTGCGGACCGACCTTTGCGGACGGACATTTGCGGATTGCGGATAAACATTTGCGGATCGGACATTTGCGGACGACATTTGCGGATTGCGGACCGACTTTTGCGGATCGGACATTTGCGGACCGTTTTTTGGGAAAAAAAATTAAAGTTAATTTTCGAAAACGAAAAGAATATTTAAGTTTATTTTAATATCTTTTCGATGGGCAAATTTTTATCAAAATGGTCAACGTAAACCTATGGAGATTAGGCGAGGCGCTTGTGTGTGTTCGCGCAGGGTTTTGCGGCACGCGCCTCGCCTAATCTCCATAGGTTTACGTTGACCATTTTGATAAAAATTTGCCCATCGAAAAGATATTAAAATAAACTTAAATATTCTTTTCGTTTTCGAAAATTAACTTTAATTTTTTTTCCCAAAAAACGGTCCGCAAATGTCCGATCCGCAAAAGTCGGTCCGCAATCCGCAAATGTCGTCCGCAAATGTCTGATCCGCAAATGTCTATCCGCAATCCGCAAATATCCGTCCGCAAAGGTCGGTCCGCAAAAGTCGGTCCGCAAGTGTCGCACTACGGGCGGTTCAGTAGGTGGCGTGGTGTAATAGCTAACATATCAGTCCGGTCTACTGAAGATGCTGGTTTGCCCCCAGCCGCCGATTAATCTTATGCACTAGCTAAAGGAGAGAAATAGCTATAGCCAGCTGCTTTACTATATCTTAGTAATAAAATACCCTTAAAATTAAGGTATTAAAATTTATATTATTTTCTTATGATTTTCCAAAAAAAAGTATTTAAGATAATTAATGTAAGACCACTAATTTGGAAATTCTTAACTGAAATTTCGAATGCTAAATTTACTTTGAATTTCAATTAATTAATTATGTCTAAATTAATTACCTAACAACAACAACATGTGTAGATTGTTGTAAAACATTTCCATCACTATTACAATTATTATTGCTATTTACTATATTTGATGTTTTTAAATGTTCTTCTCTACATTTTATTTTATCCCTTCTATGTTTGTGATGATGTGAACTTTAGAGAGGAAATAATTTTGAAAATTTTTAACAATTTTTTTAAATTTACTTATTTCCAGCAGAATGTGAATGCCCGGCATGTAAAGCTGATGAAGAAAATATTTTTAAAATTAATTCTTCTAATAAATAAACAAGAAAAAACCCGCAACAGACGAAGAATTGTGTTAATGGATATTCTATTTTCCATTTAGATTTTATTATAAAACGTTCGTAGTTTTCACTGAAAAATATATTTTTTAATCCAAAGGATTTCCTAGTAAATTCTTCATTTAGTAAAGTAAATTCTCATAATTCCCTTCCTTATAAATTCACGTTATTCCGTAAGTTCCACAGATTTCTTGAAGAGAAATATACTCTCCAACTCTCGTCCTATTCTTTAACAAAAAATCATTCCATACTTTATATGAGGAAAAATATCTAGAAAGCAAGTTCCCATAAATACACCTCCCGCAAAACATGATAATAAAGAAAGTATCCATTCTGCGAGTCTGGTTTCTCTAAAATTAATTTTTAAGGATTTTCTTCTTTTTTTAAGCCTAAATTAATTAACAAAAATAAATTGCCTTTCATTTTCTTCGTCTCTCCTTCTATTTATCATATTTAATAACTAAAAAGTTAATATTTTTTAAATTCTAAAATTTTTTAAACTTTAATAGGAAGTAAACCAGCTAAAGCAGTTGTCAAAAACATAGCTAAGGCAAGAATAGCTTGTAGAGGAATTATGTTCATAATTAAGTTAAAAATAAAAAATATTTATAGAGAAATTCTGAAAATAATTTGAAAAAATAATTTTATTAGTTTAAATTATGGTAGCACTCCGAGCTGAAGAAATATATTTTTTAATAATAATCCAGAGGATTTCCTAGTAAGGACTATATTTTTAAGGATTATATTTTATAATTAATCTTCATTTAGTTCGTCGGGGATCGGGGTTTGCCGGTGTAGAGCCTTCGGGGTTCGGGTCGGGATTTCGAGGGTTAAAATTATTTTATTTTTTTTCTATTAAGTTTAGAAATGTTCCCAACAATCATTTTTGATATTGAAATAATTAAATAGGAATTAAAAATTTTATTATTCATTTACATAAATTGATTTCCCATTAAAAAACATTTTATTTATTTATTTTTCTTTCAAAAACATCCTTAAAAAATCAAAACGTGTAACAACAAATTTATGATCATGCTTATGCATTGTAAATAAATAAATAAATCATTATTTTAGTGGAATCCACGTTCAAAAAGGATTTTATTGAGCATAAATAAATGAGAGAGAAAATTTAGAAAAAAAAAAGATTAAATTGCGCAACCTGTGACAAAATTTTGAATTTATGCGAAATTGCTCAATAAAAGGATTTTACTTTTTTTTTAAAACAAAAATAAAATGAATATATTTTTTGTAAAAATTTTAAATAATAAAAAAAATGGGAGAGATTTAAATTTAAACAAGGGAAAGTTAGAGAAATACATAATTAAAAATTTTATTTTGATAAAATTATTGTTTTCCCCTACTATTACATCATTTTTATTTAAAAAAATATTCAAAAATAGTTATTTTGATAATGAATTTTGAAACAAAAGCGGATTCTCTAACGAAGGAAAAATGGAAAATAAATACAAAGTATTTAAGTCAAATTTTGACAATTATAAAGAGAAATAAAGTGTTAGTGAAGGGTTTTTTGATGATAAGAAAATATTTTGAGAGATTGATTAAATTATTTATTTATAAGCGGTTCAATATTAATGAACGGACGACAAATAATAATTTATAAGTAAATAATTCTAAAATTATTATGAGAACAAAATTAGGCTTAAAAATTGTGTTAAATTGAGCATTAAGATATATTGAATGAAAGTATGAAGGATATTTACATAGAAAAAAAGCGAATAAATTGAAAAAAATATTTCTTGAGAAGGGTTAAATGTCCGTATCTCTCAAAAAATTTTCCTAAAAATTTTAATATTAGATTATGAGGATATTTAGTAATATTTTTAAAATATTTAAAAAATTAATACAATTATTTTGATAATTTGTAAGAATTAGTAAGGGGGAACATAAGCACTATCCAACATTAATAAATAATAACGGCAATTCCCTCAAAACTAAATCGATTCTATACTGCACAATAACAGCCACCGATTTCCACCACCGACCTACTTTAATTCCTTTAAACAAAACATTAATTTCTCACCTGCTAGCCAAAAGAAGAATGATTAAAATAAAAATATTTTTTTATTAAAAAATTAAAAAGTGAAAAATCAAAGTTTTCAATTAAAATTACAAATTTTATGAAAGAAGGAAGGCTAAAGAGAACTTGTTGTAGAAAATATTTCAGGAAACCCCCCCCCCCCAAAATTTTTAAAAATTTAATAACAATTTTTAAAATATTTTTGTAAAAATTGCTGCTAAAATAAAATCAAAAATTAAACTAAACTTTAGTCTTGATTGACTAATAAATAAGCCTATAGAGAAATAAAAAAAGAGAAAATAAATATTGGATTAACAGGAGAATTTTAAAAAGAGCCTGAGAATGCGCAAGTATAAAAAAGACAAAAGTTTTTTTTGTGTTTCTAAAAAATACAAAAGACAAAAAACTTAATTGATGAAAGATTAAATATTTGTTTATTTACCCTATTTTATTCTTTATTTATTGTGATTGGAGACCAATTATCCAAGTTTAAGAGAAAACTTGAAATAAATTAGACTTTTTTAAAGAGAAAATAATTGAAGGAATTAGTTCAAATAAAAGGACAATTCGAGAAAAATTAAAGGAGTCAATCAAGTCATATTAACAGGAAAATTGTTGAATTTTTGTTGGTAATTTGGGAATAAAATCGAAAAAAAAATTAAAAAATTTATATTTATTTATAACCATTAAAATCCAAAACCAAACAATTTATTGTATACAAATACCACAACAAATTATTTAAATCAAAATGTTTTCGTAAATAATTTCCTAATTTTTTGTTGTCTAATACATAGTTGGAAGAGCCTCTGAAATTAATAAAGAAAAATTTAAAATTAAAATTCCCAACAATTTAAAATACTTAAATTGAAAACCCTCTCATTATCTAACTTCCTAGAAGAATTTTTGACTGTCAACTATCATCAAATAGGAAAAATAAAATGGAGACCCAAAATTAAAAGAAAAATTAAGAAAAAATTTACTTGGCTGCTGCTTTCCCTCCTCCTCCTCCTCGGGTAATTTCTTCTGAATTGAATCCAACTCCTGATCCCAAGACTCTTCAATTTTGTGCCAATGCTCCTATAAAAATATAAAAATTTCAACTAGTATCATTTAGAAAAATTTAAAATAAAAACCATCAATTCCTTTTTGCGCTGCTCTCGTTTATTGTAATAATACGGAAATTGTTCGCGTTCAGGCCAAGTATAATGAAAATTACTTTCAGCAATTTCATCAGGTGTCCAATGTTCACGATCATAATTAGCCCCACCAACATCATTTGGAACTTTAAATTTATATAAAAATTTTTAAAAATAATTTAAAAAATACATCGATACGGGTCTGGATGACGATTTGCCCAAACTTGACGACAACCATCTGCCAACAAAAATTGAGCCATTTGCATATCTTTTACATCTTTATTGGCATCAAAACGTGCGCGCATTAAAACCATTTGGAAACGAAACTCCAAACTGTTTTGAAAAAAATAGACAAATTTTAGAAAAATAAACAAACAATCCGTGTGTATCATATGAAAAATACCAAGCATGAATCTCACGAAGACAACGCTTATAAAGACGCATAACCTTTTGACGATGAGATAATGCTTTAGAAAACATCCATGAAGGACACTCCATAATTTTAATTAATTTATTAAATTGTTTTTGATAAAATTCTAAAATTAAAAAGTAAATTATGAAGAAATTGGTCACAAGAAAAAAAAACAAAAAAAATCATTAAAATTTAAGTAAAAATAAATAAAAACAAAAAATAATTATAATTATAATAATTATTAGTGCCCGGCAAAATCGAATTTGCCGGACCCGGATCCGGATTCCGGATTTGCAACTTGAACCGGACCGGATCCGGCCGGATTTTTCCGGATAAATCCGGTCCGGTTTTAATCCGGTAAAAATAATTTCCGGAGTCCGGCAGAAATTATCCGGATTCCGGACCGGACTCCGGTTTTTTTCCGGATTTTAAAAAAAAATTTTCTTAATTTTTGTGTTAAAATATAGTAATACGTGTGTCGTTTAAGTGTTAAAATGTTGCTAGGGGGATATCTAAGGAGTTTGGAGGCTATGAAGGATATTTTGTGGATTTTTCGAGGTTAAAAGTTTGGAAAATAAAGTTATTCGTGGTTGGAATTTTGAAATTTGCTCCTACTTTTGTACAGGCCTTTCTTTACCTCGTACTCGTACCAGCCAATTTTTGAGCATTTTGGAGTCCAAGGAGCAATATTTCCTCCAAGGATCCTCTTAATCTCAAATTTCTCCCATGCGCCGCAGGCGAAAATGTTGAGAATTTTCAAAGTCCTCAAGTCAGATTTCTTTCATTTTTTGCGCCGCAGGCGAAAATTTTGAAAATTTTTGAAAGCCATGAAGCCACATTTCTTCCATTTTTCACCGCCGGAGGCGAAAATTTCGAGAATTTTGGAAGGCCTAAGGAGAAAAAATTCATTCTTAGAGCCGCAGGCAAAAATTTTTTGAATTTTAGATGATAATGGAGCTTAGACTCTCTATACCAACCTTATTTTCGGCCTAGTACTGAAACTCAGTGAGGTATAAACAAGGAGGAGTCAGTCGTGCCTTCCGGGTACGATTTTTGGAAGGCCAATAAAGATTAATGCATCCCTTTTCAGCGCCGCAGGCGAAAATTTTTGAATTTCATATAGACAAGGGTCAAAAATTCTTCTTTTTTATAAAAAATACAAGAAAAAATTGGGAAATTCCAGAACAGCATAAAATCCCAAATCCGGTGCTCAAAATTTGCCGGACCCGGATCCGGATTCCGGATTTGCAACTAGAGCCGGACCGGATCCGGCCGGATTTTTCCGGATTAATCCGGTCCGGTTTTAGTCCGGAAATTTCAAAAAAAACCCGGATTTGGGACCCGGACTCCGGAAAAATCCGGCCGGATCCGGTCCGGCGCCGGGCACTAATAATTATCGGCGAAAAAGCAAGTTAAACGAAAAAAACTCGAGCACTTAAAAGCAAAAAATGAACATGGATTTGTGAAAAAATTCTGCCAGAACTTGGCAATGAAACATCCAAATAATTTACATTACATCTGTTTTGTTGCGGCAGGTTTGTCGCATAAATAAAATTTTTAGATAATCCTTTTTTTAAATAAGATAATGTAATTCACAGAAAATTCACAACAAGACGATCCAAAAAGAATATTCTTGGAAAGGAGATATTAAAAAATGTTTGGAAAACTCCATATTTTTAAGGAAAAAAACTACAACTGTATTCCCAGAAAGAAAACAAAAGTTCGCGTCAAAACATTCTTTACCATTTCGATATATGAAAATATTGTGAAAACGAGGATAGTCACAGACAGACAGAGTTTTTACAACTTCAAATCTCTAAAATATTTTGTAAAACAGTCCTTAAAAAACATTCTACATTTCCAAAAATCTTAATTAATATTCCAAGAGACAACATATTTTATTCTTCATTTTCATACGCCTATCAAAAAAGGGTGACTGTCAATCTTTTCTTTTGTTCATTCTATGCTGCGATATGCATTCTTTTGTGAGTTTGAATTTAAATTTTATGTATCACAATATTCCACGTTTTTTCACCTTTTATTAAATGTAAAATTAGAGAGAGAGTTCATATTTACATTTTTCCGAAGGAATTCTACTTAGAGGGAATGTCTAAAAATGTTTTTTTAAATAATAAATCTTTTAATTATGGATACTCAATAACAAGTTTTTTTTTCTATTTCGTTTAAAAATAAATTCATTTTTATTTTTTATTTAATAATTAATTCTGCCACATTCATTTTAAGATGTCGGACATTTTATCTTTTTAGTTAATCCTTTATACTTTTTCGTTCCTATGGTCTTCTTATAAAAAGTCATTGAGTGTTGTTGAGCTCTCTTTTATAAAGGATTTAAAAAATACATTTGCGTGTATATGTAAACCTCCATATATTTAGAATTACATAAGTAGGGCATTTACTACTATTTTCCTATTAATATAGATAAATCTTATTTTTCGTTAAAAAGACGGCACTTAAATTGGCAATCCCGGAGAATTGGGGTCCCTGCGAAAAAAAAGTTTAAAAATAAGAAAAAGAATTTTTCTAGGGTAAAAAAATATGCTGATTACGAATCCGAGCTCAGATTTTGAAAAAGTCGAATCCCGAACCCGAATTCGGACATTTGATCCCGAACAGGATTTTTGACCCCTAACATTATCATACATTGTACAAAATGGCCAGTCTTTCAATTGAATCATAGAACTCATCGAGCTGCATCGAATGACACCAAAATCAATAAAATCCGACCGGTTTGAACCGAGATACAGACCCCTAAATATTGAAAAACCACATGGTTGATTTTTTGGAGTAAAAAAAAGTTTTTACAAATGATACCTCATTCGAAAGAGCTCGTCGAGCTGAATCGAATGACGCCAAAATTACAGTGATTGATCAAGTTTTGACAAAGTTATGACATAAGTCGCCGACTCCTACAGTACTCCCATAGGTATACTTTATGTCATAACTTTGTCTAAACTTGTCCAATCACGTTAATTTTGGTGTCATTCGATGCAGCTCGACGAGCTCTTTCGAACGAGCTATCATTTGCATATTCGAAATTCGGGTTCAGGGTTCGAAATTTAGTTCGGGTTCGGGATTCGACTTTTTCAAAATCTGAGCTCGGATTCGTAATCAGCATATTTTTTTATCCTAGAAAAATCCTTTTTCTTATTTTTAAACTTTTTTTCGCAGGGACCCCAATTCTCCGGGATTGCCCTTAAATTCATTTAAAATGTCTTTCCTGTATTTTCATTTTTTTCTAAATTTTAGTGATTCGCCGATTTCGTGTGAATCGTCTCAATTCCTGGCTTCTCTCTCACGTCTACACAACCTCCACACGTCAGAATTTAAAACATCAACCGGCAACTGCCTCTACTAGTGTTCAAGAAGTTGTTACTATTAGCAGCAGAAACAACAGCAATTGCAGCGATTTTATGATGATGATAAAACCAATTATTATTTCTGGCCCCTCAGGTGGTGGAAAGTCTACTATTTTGGCTAAAGCAATGAAAGAATATCCAGATGCTTTTGCTTTTAGTGTTTCACGTAAATAATTTATATTTTAAAAATTTTGGGGATCTTTTTGTGAAAATTTTAAACATTTTTTAAGCATTTTTTCTATTTTTCTCAAATTTCTTTAATTTAGACACAACTCGTAAACCTCGAGATGGAGAATTGGATGGTCAACATTATTATTTTATAGAGAAGTCTGAATTTGAACGAATGATTAAAGACGGCGAATTTCTTGAACATGCCCAATTTGGTGGTAACTTTTACGGGACGAGGTTTTTATATTTAATTTTTTTCCTGAAAACAATTGAAAAATTTTAGCAAAAAAGCTGTTCAAGATATTTGTAATAGTGGAAAAATTTGTGTATTAGATGTTGAACTTCAAGGGGTTCGAAATTTTAAGAAGGCACAATTTGAAGCAAAATATATTTTTGTTCGTCCCCCGTCAATGGAAGTTTTGGTTAGTTTTTGAATTAAAAGACATTTTTTAAATTTTATTCAAACAGGAAAATCGCTTGCGTCAACGTGGCACGGAAACAGATGATTCGCTTGAGAAGCGACTTAAACATGCAAAAGAGGATCTTTTGGCAGGTTGATTTTTATTATTTTCTTTTAAAATAATTAAATTTAAATTTTTTTAGTTGAAAACGAGTCAACTCTTTTTGATGTCGTTGTCATTAATGAGCAACTTGACAAAGCTTATTCTGATTTTCTTAACGCAATTCGTTCAGAATTGGATGTTTTTATACAAAAACGAAGCGAGAAGGAAATGAGTAATGGAGAAGGAAAAAATGTAAAGAATTAAAAAATATTTGAGTAAAAAATATTGAAGAGCTTATTTATGGCATAATTTAATTTTTATAGGCTTTGTAAGTCTTGACTAATTTTTATTCAAGCTTGATAAGTTAGTTAATTAATCATTGATTGATTGGAAAATTTTATTATTTCTAAAAATAAATTGAAAGGTTTTTGGAAGAAACCTTTTAAAAATTTTTTTTGAATTATCTGTAAAATTTTTCCAATCATTATTTTTCTTTTACTATATCTATCTTGCTTTTTGTGCAATAATTCGCTAGTTTCTTTCAAATTTATTGTCTTGTGCAATTTAGACTAAATTCCCTAAAGCTGGTCAGATATTTAATAATGAATATATTCTTTGTTTTTATTGGTTGAATAAAAATATTTTGAATTTTTTCTTTATAAATTTGGAAAATATTTTTAAAAATTATTTTTATATTTTATGAAGTCATTTCTTTTAAGAATTTCTAGGTATTAAATTGTTTTAAGTCATGGCTTCCTCTGCATTGAAAGTATTTGGAGAGACTTCAACATATTTGCCTCCATTGCCTGCTCTGCGAGATTTTATTAAAATATATCGTTTAAATGCAGACAGAGCTTTGAGTCAAAATTATTTAATGGATATGAACCTTTGCAGAAAAGTAAAGTTTTTTTTTATTTTAAATTAAAAATTTTGTAGATGGTGCGTTGCGCTGGTGATTTGAAAGATTGCCATGTGATCGAGGTTGGCCCTGGACCTGGTGGGATTACGAGAGGTTTTGGTTTTATAAAGTTGTCATATTTAGCAAGTTTCATATTTAGCTCTTATTTTTCATATTTAGCAATTCTTGAAAAGCCCTGTCTTCGGTTAGATGTTGTTGAATTGGATAGACAATTTATTCCAGCATTAGAGGTATATTTTTGCCAGCATTCTATTTAAATAACTTCTAAAATCTTAAGCATCTTAAACACCATGCACAGGATAGAATGTTCATTCATCGGGGTGATATAATGCAAACAGATGTTGGAGGAATTTGGGAAGAAGCGGGTGCTAACAAATGTGATTGGATGGATCAGGTCTAAACAATAAATATTCTTAATAGATGACTGAAACATTCAAACTCAAAAAATATTATACATATTTTTAGAACCCGCCATTTAGTCTAATTGGAAATCTGCCTTTTCATATATCTACTCCACTTATAATAAAGTATTTATTTTTATTTAAATTAATTTTATTAAAAAATAATTTTAAGGTTAATGAGGGCAATAAGTGACAGGACTGGGCCTTTTGCTTTTGGACGTGTTCCAATGATGTTTTCCTTTCAATTAGAAGTTGCAAAAAGAATGGTTGCGCCATTAGTGAGCTTTAATTTTAGATTTTTAGAAAACATTTTTTAAAATTTAAGGGAAGCGATTTTCGATCTCGTATTGGCCTAACTTGCCAAAACTGGGCTGAACCAAAAATTATGTTTGATATACCTGGTATTTCTATATACCTATTTTTTCTAATTCATAAAAAATAGGAAAATGTTTCACACCTCAACCAGAAGTCAGTGTTGCGTTTGTGCGATTGACGCCAAGGTTTCTCATTTTTTAGAAATTCAAATAATTTAAAAATTAAGATTAGAGCCACAAATCCCTGTTGCATTTGAGGTTATTTATTATAAATATTTTTTTTCATATTTTTAGGTCTCCAATAAGGTTTTTCGTGTTCTCTTCCACCTGAGGAGAAAATACCTCAGAAAAGTTGTTAGATTACTCTATCCAGAACCTATGCTTGATGATATGGCAGACGATTTACTTAGGTAAAATTTAAAGGATTTGTTTATCAAAAAATATTTTCGTTTTAGGCATTGCCGTTTAGACCCAACAATGGTTGTTCCTATGTTAGATATGCAGAATTTTGCAGAAATGTGCCTTTTCTATGAAAAACAATGCAGAGAGTAATTTGTTAATTTTGTTCTAAATAATTTAATTTTTAAATTTAGAATGCCAGGTCTTTTCCTTTATGATCATCGTGAACCTGCAGAAATGACTGAATTAGCTAAACATCCATTTCCATTCCCTCCAGTCTATAGAAGACCCGTTGATGCATTAGAAAGGATAGAAAGTAAAGGATTAAATTTAAATGAATTTGATGCAGCATTTAAAGAAACAAAACCTTGGAGAAGTAAAAAAGAAAAGAACAAAGAAAAGGAAGAAAGAAGAAGACAAGATTTAGAAAATCAAAATAATCAAGTTAATTAGGTAATTCTTCGGTTCGTATTCCCCCTTCTTTTTCTGACCATTTTTTCATTTTTCCTTCCCTTTCTCCCTTATTTTTCATGAGGCAAGTAACAAAAAGGATTTATGAGAAATATTTATTTCTTCTTTTCAAAGGATAAAAAAGATAAACATGATCCCAAAAATCATAAAAAAAAACTTAAGAAATACCATCAAATAGTTTTAGCCACAGAAATTCTGGAAAATATTTGGGTACGTAAATATACCTATGTTGGTATTGTTAACTGCATTCTTTACCATGAAGAAGCAAAGATTTTCGAGCCAAGCATCGAAACGTTGTAGTTAGTCACGGTTTGTTACACAAATTATTTACGTTAGAATTTTGGTTATTGAATGATGTAAATGAATTGTCCAAGAACTTCCTCCATCCTTTTTGATAGTACTTGCCTCGTGAAAAATAAGGGAGAAAGGGAAGGAAAAATGAAAAAATGGTCAGAAAAAGGAGGGGGAATATGAACCGAAGAATTACCGTTAATTATAATGAAAATACATATTTGATATGAAATTAAATAGTATGTTTATATTTTTTATGGTAAGGATTAGTAGGTAATGACTGACCATTTTATACATAAAGTAAAAAGCTGGGCAGGGGGAGGGGACTTATGTTTCTCACAATAGTAGAGCAATTTTGTTTTCCGAAGTTTCGCTCTAAATGTACAGACAAGGAATAATTAAAGAAAAATAAAGGAACTCTGAAAAACGTTTTTATCTGGACTTGGATCCATTAAAAAAAGGTCCTGATACAGATTCAGACCGATCACTAGTATGAAAATCCACGCCGTTCAAATGGCAAAACCCCATGAAGAACAGGCTTAGAAATTGCTGTGACTACAATAACTAAACTCGAACGTCTTCCATTAGGATTTTATCAAGTTTTTTATTCTATAGAATTCCCATCAATAATTTTGAATTTCGAAGTTAAACATTGTGTAAAACATATTAATATTTAAACATTGCTTTATCTCTTTTCAATTAAAAAACAAACTAGAGACAGCGAACTGAATAAGTTTCGAAGGATTTTTAAAATAATTTTCAATAAATTTCATTTAAAAATTAAAGAATTTTCATCTTTCGAAACTTAATATATTTTATATTAAATACCCATTTTGTTAGGTACAATTTTCTGCACCTTTTTGAGATCATTGTCTCTTTTGTTTTGGCACTGCTTTCTTTTAGAGAATCCTGTATTTTTTTGACTTCTTTCATTTAATGTTTAATTTTTATCGGGAATTGCTACTACAAAATCCACAGGAAAGAGCACAATCACGACGCATATAAATTGATGAACGTTTGCAAACATTTGGTGAAACGCGAATCCAACCGGAGCACCTGAAAATAAAATTAAGTAGATTTTCTTTTTTATTAATTTCAAGTTCTAAACTAAAAATTTTCTATAAAACCAAAGGATGATTTATAGTTTTAATTTAGATTACCGTAAATGCTCTAATAGAACCACATGTGCTTCTATTTTTCGATTCCCTCATAGGGTGTGCTTATATTAGGAAGTGTGCTTCAAATAGGGAGTGTGGATCTATTAGAGCATTTACGGTATTTAGGGAGCCTTTGTCAAGTATTTTTTTAAATGTAAATTTCTCATTCTCATAACAATTATAAATTCCATTCTATTTTTTATTTTCAGAATTTAAAAATTAATTTAAAAATAAAAAGAAATTGTAAAATATTTTAATTAAATATCTCCTCACCATTTTGTTCTATCAGCACACCCATTTTGCCCTGGAAATTATTTTTTATATAATTTTTTTAAATTAACATTCTTATCATAATTTTCTTTTTCCATTTAAAGAATTTCCATTTATAATAATAAAAATAAACGGTCATACAAGTAGGACCAATAAAAATACCAAAAATTGGCCGAACTCTATTTTATTTCCTAAAAAAGAAGAAAGGAGAGATTCTTCTTCATTCGTCACACATTAACGCGTATCTTAGACCATTAAATAATTTTTTTAAATAAAGGAAAAATGATTAACTTTTGTTTTATTGTTGCCTTTTTTTATTTTTTATTTTTGTTCTCTAAATATTATTTTTCAATTACCTCCATTCGTCCAAAATGCTCTTTGTTGATCAGGTGTTTGTAATTGTGCTAAACTTCGTCTGTCAAAGTCGCGACGGGCTTGAAGTTGGTTTTGTCTAAGCCTTGCAAGGCGTAAATGAAGAGCCTATTAAAATTACTTATTATTTTTTTCTAATTTGTGTTTATTTTGCTATTTAAATTTTTTGAAAGGGACATTGAAAGTTTGGAATAATTGTGAGACTTTATTTAGATTTCTAAATATTTTTAAAATTTTACTTGTCTCAAATCATTAGAATTAACTCCATTATTATTTTGTCTTTCAACAATTGATGTTCCACCACCAATAGAACCATCAACCCTTCTATTTATTTGTAAAAATTGCCTTAACGAGGATTGTGGAGAGGAGGATCGTGAGTCCTTTTAAATAAATTTTAGATAAATATATTTAACAAATAATTAAATGTTGCCTTAAAAACGAAGATTTAGTCATTAACTGATTCGAAATAATGAGAGCTTATTTGATTATTTCATTAGGAAAAGAGTAAAAGTTTTTAGAGTATAGACTAAATTTTATTTTTAAAAATATAATTCCAAGAAGGAAGTTTTAAACTGGTTAACATTTTTTTTAAATAAAGAATTATTAAATAAAAAATAAATATATAAATTACTAGTAAAGAAGAAGATTGTGGCGCCAATTGTGGAAGAACACGTGGAGGCACTTGAGCAACAGGTGGAGTTTGTGGTTGTTGTGTTGTTGAACTAATTGTTGTTGTTGTTGGTGGTGGAGGAGAAGAAGAAGAAAATGTTGGGGCTGCTGTAGGGATTGTTGGTATAGGCAAAACTAAAAATAAAAATTTAGAATTAATTAAAATAATTTAAAATTATTTTGTTGTTTTTTTAGTTATAATTTTTTGAAAATTTATTTGGGAAGGATATTTGTATTAATAAAAACAAATAATTGGTTATTTCCTTTCTTAGTCTATCCACAGGTTAAATTAAAAGGGAATATTAAATGAGAGAAAATCAGTCATTTAATTTTAATTAAAAATTCTGGAATTAACGAGAGCCTTTTGAATTTGCCATAAAAATAAAAGCTTTATATTACTTTCTAATTTGTGTTCGAAACTTAAATTTTTCTGAAAGGGAATTTGAAGGTTTGGAATAATTGTGACTTTATTTAGATATTTTATTTTATCAAAAATTTATGACGGGAATTAAAGAAACCAAAATTTTGAAGTCATGAAAAGGAAATTCCAAAAAATCCCTAATTCCCCCGGTATTCACATTATTTACTATAATTTTTTGCATTTAAAATAAATTCTCTTTTTATAAATAACAAAATTTCTTTTAAATTAAATAATATCCCTCCCAAATTTTTTTCAAAAAAATTTTTTTTAATTGACAATTCTTAAAAAAGCAGTTAAAGGAATATTAGGCAGTAAAGCTGCCATCTTTTTTCTCCCACTTCTTTGTTGTTGTTTGTTGTTGTTGTCTTTTATTCTTTTCATTACTGCATCAATTACAACTTTAACACCTTCCCAAGTTTCTCGTCCAGTTGGAATTAATTGGCGACGATCAAGAAGAAAACCATCCTTTGAAAAAATTTATTTTTAATTAAAAAACTCTTTTAAATTACCCATTCTTCTTCTCCAGGTCTCAATTCAAGCAAATAAACATATTTAATGTTTGCCTTTGCTTTTGCCCAATCATCGGAACTTAAAAAAATAAAAATTTGAAATTAATTGAAATTAATAATGTTTTGATAAGAGAATTAATATCAGTGGATTTACAGGGTGACCATAAAGGTTGAGGACAACCGGGGCCCCAAACCGGGGCCTTAAACACAACTTTTATTTTAATTCTTCAATTTTTCATTACCCTCCAGCTGACGGATATAAAATATCTGCACCCGTTCCAAATCTATATTTTGTTCCATAAACTTCCTCAATTGCTCGAACTCCACGTCGTCCAATTGTTTGTAAATCCTCAATATCGCTAGGAAAATTACGTCTTTCGTGATTAAATGGGTGAATCCTTTTTAAAATATTTTTTTCTTTTTTATTTAAAAATTCTTTAAAAATATTTTTACCACATTTGTGAATAAGTATGTAAAGTAATAAAAGCATCAAGTTTTCCATTAAGTTCAGGCGAAAATATTTTATCTCGAATGGCACGACTTTCAGGCTCGCTAAATGCATAATCACTAAAAAAATAAGTTAAAAACATATTTTTAAATTTGTTTTTTTACCCTTGGAAAATGTCAGAGCAAAGTTCCGAACTAGATCCAGTCTCTAAAATTTTGAAGTTTTCTTTAATTTTCAAAAAAATCCAGAAAAACCTCCCCAATGAAAATCAAAATTTCTGTTTAAATCAACACCCCCACAACAACGTTCACGTCTCCAACGATCTTTTTTGCAAGTCTGTGGCCCTCTATTTTTCCTCCAAAATCTTGTTTGGGGATTGACATCAGAACGAGAATATCTTTAAAAATAATTTTAAATAATTTATTTTTATTTAAAAATAAATTAACTCAAATCCATCTGGATTTGCAACTGGAACAAAATAAAAGTTTAAAGTGTTCATATAATCTGTAATTTTTGGATCTGTTCCAAATTGGGTAAGTAACTGAAAAATAGATATATTTTTGTTAAAAATAAAGAAAATTAATAAAACATTTTTATTAAATAAATATTTTTGTTTAAAATTTAAAAAACATTTTTATTTTTAAATATTATTTAAATATTTCTAGCTTAACTAAAGAAGCTAGAAATATTTTACTTTCCGACATCCTAAATTTCTTTGATTTTACAAACTTTTCCACTCTATTTGACCTAATTTATCCTAATGGGATAAAATTAAGAATTAAATCTTACTTAAATATAATTAGGAAAATAAAATTTTTTAAAAATTTCCTTACCATTTCTATAAA